CTGGGCCTCAGGATCCCAAGCTAGTCTGGGCCCCCAGAGAAACAGGAAACTGGACTGGGAGCCTCATCCGGGCCTTAGCTCCAGCGGAGAGCGGCTGGAAAGAAGCTCGGTTTGTGGATGAGCAAACAGGGGGCGGGGCCTCCATTGCTCTTTAGAGGCCAGATCCGGCGGGAGGCCCTGGCTCCTGCCACCGCCTTGCTCTTGTCCTCTGTGCTCTGGCCATCTTGGCCCTCTCTTCCTCCCGGGAATGAATCCCTTTCTCCCACCGCCAGACCCCCGCCAGGCTGTTCTCTCTGCCAAGCCAAGTCCCATCACCTGTCAGCTGTGGGCTCTGTCATTGTCACTCCCCCTGGATGCTCCCTCTACACCCAAGAGCAGACCAAGGCCTTCTCCCCCACACTCCCCAGGGCTGTGGTTCTCAGCTTACCTGGGCCATTGCTGGGTTAATGCCTTCCTCCCCCGGGGACCTGTCTGTCTCAGTGACAGGCCTACAGTAGGTGCTCAATTAGCAGTAGCTGGATGAATGAAATTCTGAATCCGTTAGTCCTGGCTATAACCACTATCTAGATGTGTGACCTTGGGCAAGTCTCACCTTCTTTCATTCAGTGAACAAATATTCATTGAGCCTACAGATTTCCCAAACTTTTGACATACGTGTACCCCTTCTATGATATAATTTTCGTAACGCTGAGTACCCTTCGTACTCATGAGAACGTAGAATTAGGCACAGTTAAGCACGGTGCAGTGCATATCCCCACCAAACTCCGGTGCAACGCGTACCCCCACCAAACTTCCCGTACCCCTGGGGGCACGTGTACCACACTTTGGGAAACACTGTTCTACTAGGTATGGAGTCAAACCCAGGTCTGTCTGGCCGCCACCCTGTTCTGCACACCCAGCTCTGCCTCTCCTGGAAACGCCAGTGCCGCGATGCTAGAGGCCTGGAGGTGGCAGTCCCTGTCTGAAGTCTCGCCCTCTCCCACGGGTCCCCCCCGATGTCATATATGCCAGTCCCCTGGCGCCCCCCACTTCCCTGCCTTCCGGCCTCTGTGTACGAGGAGCCCTCCACCATCTCTGCCTGCACATCCCACTCCCCCTGCAAAATGCCGCTGCAGCTCTCCTCTCACTGCGCGGGCTGGCGTGGGAGGCTTCCCTGGCATGTGACCCGAGTTCCTTATGCCAGGGCTCCCCCCACCGCTCCCCTGCCCAGGACTGCCCGGGCCCGGCTGAGTCTGATTCACGGGAACGGCTCTGTGGATTAATCTTTCTCCGATCAGACGCCGAACATCTGCTCTGCACGCTCCACTGCCCCGCTCGGGGCTGGGCACTCAGGGCGATGTCTGCTATTGGGCAGGAGAGTGGGGGCAGAGCACGGGACTGGGGGCTCCGCCTGGATCCCCCAAAGCATGACAGGAGAATGGGATTCGGGTGTGAAGGGCACAGCTTGGGCACTCTCTCCTCTGACCCCTTCACCCACCAGAGGGCTTCTCTCTCCTGTCCGCTGTGGGGCGGGTGGGGCAAGGAGCATGCTGGGGGAGGGTAGGGGAAGGTCAGGGCAGACCAGCTATGGGCTGAGCTGAGGAAGGATGGCTTGCCCAGGGGAAGACAACCACACATCTTGAGCTGTCTGGGAATCATCTGCTTCAGCAGAATTCCAAGGACTGGGAAGGTGACTGTGGGCATCCAAGGAGGAGCTGCCCACCCCTGCGTGGCCCAGTCTCAGGCCAGTGCTAGGGCTGGGCAGCCAGGCAGGAGACCTGGGCTCTGTCTCCACTCTGCTCTCAATTTGCTGTCTGCCCTTGGGCAAACTCCTGTCCCTCTCTGAGCACCAGGCTGGGCAATGAGAGACGAGTCCATGTGGACATGACCAGCACGAATGCCAGAGGCCGGGATTGCCAGAACCTCTCCCCTTCCCCCAGGGACACCTCTGAGTGGGTGACTGAGTGGCTTTGGGTGGGGCCACCGCCCAGCCTCACCCACCTGTCCCTGTCTTAGGCTGAAGGGGGCACAGTGAGCTCCCCAGCATCCTCTCTCTCCTCCGTGACCTGTCCCATCCTCTCTTTAGGGGTCCATCTCCTGGTCCCCTCGGCCCCCAGAGCCGCCAGGCTGGCAGCTGGGAGCACTGGCAGCGGTGACGAGCATCCTGCATCTGGTGAGTCAGAGCCCTCCGGCCAGGCCAGACCGAGTCCCTCCACAGAAGGAAGAAAGCAAGGCCACTCTGCCTCCCAGCCCGGGGTTCGCAGCCCAGGACCCGGAGCCTGGCCACCGGCAGACCCATCTTTCCTCCTCCACGCCAGGCAGGCGCATGCCGGCCCCGCAGGGCACTGGGCACCTGTGGTGATCTGGGCAGACTGTCCCCTCAGGACCATCCCTCCCCAGCCAGGCTCAGGAGGCGGGGCTGCTCCGGTGGGGACGGAGCATGGGGTACCTGAGCACCAGCTAAATACAGTACTGACTCATACGGGCACATAGTAGGTGCTTCATACACATCCATTAAAGGGAGTTTCTGCAGGTTTCCCATGGGTGTGGGAAAGCTTGGTGAGGTCATAAGTCATCACACCTTGTTCAATCACTATTTTTTATTTTTAACCCTAAGTTAAGTACATGGTATGTGCCAACCATTTTATATTTTTAAAAATTGATTTCAGAGAGAAAAGAAGAGGGAGAGAGAGAAACATCAATGATGACAGAGAATCATTGATCAGCTGCCTCCTGCATGCCCCCTACTGGGGATCGGGCCCACAACCCGGCCATGTGCCCTTGACCAGAATTAAACCCAGATGCTTCAGTCCACAGGCGGATGGATGCTCTATCCACTGAGCCAAACTGGTTAGGGCTGTGCCAATTTTTACAAATATATATTTTATTGATTTTTCACAGGGAGGAAGGGAAGGGATAGAGAGTTAGAAATATCGATGAGAGAGATACATCGATCAGCTGCCTCCTGCATACCCCAAACCGGGTATGTACCCGCAACCAATGTACATGCCCTTGACCGGAATCGAACCTGGGACCTTCAGTCCGCAGACCAATGCTCTGTCCACTGAGCCAAACCGGTTTCGGCTGTGCCAATTTTTAAAAATATATATTTTATTGATTTTTTACAGAGAGGAAGGGAGAGGGACAGAGAGTTAGAAACATCGATGAGAGAGAAACATCAATCAGCTGCCTCCTGCACACTCCCCACTGGGGATGTGCCCGCAACTCAGGTACATGCCCTTGACCGGAGTCGAACCTGGGACCCTTCAATCCTAAGGCCAATGCTCTATCCTAGGGGTGTCGAACTCAATCAGAGAAGGGGCCAAAATCTAAAATCCAGCCTAAATCGCGGGCCGAATGGTTTACTGAACAGTCATAAACTGTCATTGTGATGGAAACGCAGCGGAGTGCAGTGATGACAGCGCAGTGCGGGCCACATTGCAAGGCCTGGCGAGACGGATTTGGCCCGCGGGCCTTGTGTTTGACACATGTGCTCTATCCAGTGAGCCAAACCGGCTAGGGCTGTGCGAATCTTTTGGAAGCATATTAATCCTACAGCAATCTGTGAGGGGAGATCTTTGCCCCCAGTGAGCAGAAGAAAACACGGAGGTTCGGGGAAGTGAAGCAACTCGCCGAAGGACACACAGCCTGTGGGAGCTGAGTCCACATTCCTACCAGGCCTGCTGACCCCGTGGCCACGGCCACCCTCCACCGGGACTTACTGCAGAGAGGGCACCGGGCTGCGGGACGAGAGAAAGAGCAGCACCCATCCCCGTCCCATACCCACTTCCACTCCTGGCGGCCCCACGGGTTCAGATCCTGCCCTGACAGGGTCCAAACCATGCCCCTGCCTCCAAACCTATTCATCCTTCAAGCCCTGCAGGCTCCTCACCAGGTTTGGGAAAGAAACCAGCGAACCTGTCTTGCTCACCGGCCTGTGTAAAAGGGACCCATTGCCTGCCCTTCCTGGCACTCGGGTGGGTGCATGTGGGAGAGAGAGCGTGGCCACTGAAGAGCTGGGGCCAGGGAGGTTTGCTGAGGGGCTGGGGGTGTGACTGTTTAAAGGTGAGAGTAAGGCCTCAGTAGATAGAGCGTCTGCCTGTGGACTGGAGGGTCCCAGGTTCGATTCCGGTCACATCCCTGGTAGGGGGTGTGCAGGAGGCAGCTGATCAATGTTTCTCTCTCATCCATGTTTCTGTCTCTTTCCCCTCCTCTCTGTAAAAAATCAATAAAATATATTTTTAAAAATGTGAGAGTACGGCTGTTCGTATGAGGTGTGTACTAGAGTGTGTGTACACGTGTGTGGCTGTGCAAGCATTCACATGTGTGAGCCTGTACGTGTGTGGGAGCGCGTCCGTGTGGAGGCATCTGAGGGGGTGGGATTAGACTCACACTGTCGCCCATCAGACAGGGGACCAGGGCTGAGAGCACCCTTGTGCCTGGGTCCTCAGGGTCCTAGCAAAGCCCAGGGAGGCGGGGCTGCCCCCTCTCAGCGCTGCGGGAGGCCCCGTGGAGTGTTGCCACCAGCACCCTGCCCCTCCCACGCCCCCACCTCCACCCTAGCCCGCACCCCTCGCGCTAAGGGGCCTCAGGCCAGGCTCTGTCTGACTGCGGAGGGTGAGCCTGAGCCCCTTTCTCCCCTTCCGACGGGCCTGTCCCGGAGCTGCGGTCCCTGCGCTGAGTCCGGTCTGACAGCCGGATGGACATGGCTGTGCTGTGTCCGGAGGCCGGCGATCCCCGCTCCACGCCCCTCCCTGACCTTCAGCGGGGTCACCCGGGGGAGCGAGGGGAGGGCCCCCTGTGCCCCCGCCCGTGCGCCTCACATTCCCCACCCCACCCCCTCCCACCCACCCCCAGCCCCAGCCCGACGGCGGCAACAGGTGCGCGGGGCGGGGCGGGCGGGGCGAGCGGCACGGCCCCGCCCCCAACGCGGTGCGGACGGTGCGGACGGTGCGGGCGCGGGAGGCGGCGGCGGCGGCGGAGGCGGCGGCGGCGCAGGAGGCGGTGCAGGCTGTGGAGGCGGCGGCGGCGGCGGGACGACCCGGCGGGAGGCGGCGGAGCCCGCAGAGCCCGGCCCCTCCGCGCCGCCCGCGCCGCCCGAGCCCCGGCCGCGGAGACATGAGCGCCCGGCGGCCCGACGCTCCCGAGGCGCAGCGGCCCGGCCCCGCGGCCCCGTGATGGGCTCCTGCGTGTCGCGAGGTGAGCGGCCGCGGCTGGGGGGTTGGGGGTCCGGGCCCCGCGCCCCGGAGGCGGCTCCCGGGAACATCCCGACCAGCTGCATCCCCATCTCGGCCTTCCGAGCCCCAGGAGATCGCCCCCCGCACCCCCCGGGGCCGGGGCGTGGGAGGATGGGGTGCAGCACGGAGAGCGCGCAGGGAGGTCCCCGAGCCCCAGCCCCGCTGGACCCACACCCGGCAGGTGGCCGGACGCCGGCCGCTTCCTTCCCAGCAGCCACACACCCCCTGCCGGTGCCTGGGCGGGGCAGGAGGCTTCTGGTGCTCCCGGCTCTGCTGGAGGGGCTTCGGGGTGGGGGCACCAAACACCCTCCCTCCCACCCACCCCCAAGACACAGGCCCTACTGACTCAGCACCCCTGTCTGCCCCCTTCCCCACGCCCCTGCCCAGGGTCCCTGCACCCCACAGGCATCCAGGGGTGATGGAGGTGAACAGGTTATGGAGGAGGCTCTGTCCTCACCCCCACCGCCAGCCTTGGTCAGGGGGCGGGAAGGGACAGAGGCAGCGGATGGAGCCCCTGGGCCTGTCTCTGTCTCCGAGCTTTAGGGGCCACCCTGAGCGGGCACCCTGGCTCCCCGCCTGGCCTCGCCCCTGCTCCCCGAGGGGCACCAGGAGTGGGCGTGTGCTTCCCTGGAGGGTGGCATGGTGGCCTCTGGAACCCTCCCTGCCACCAGCTTTCCAGCAGCTGCCGGGCAGCCTTCAGGAGAGGTTTACCGGCCATTCGCCCACCACGGTCTTCAGGGGCAGTGGCAGGGGGCGGGGCTGGGGTGGAGGTGACTGGCCAGACCCACTGACCCCACCCACAGGGCCGAGGGGCTGCCACCCGGGCATCACCCCCAGTCGCCTTTTCAGGTGCAGAGGGGTCAACAGGGCCTGGGGAGGGGCTGGGCAGGCCCTGGAGGGGGGCCTTGTCCTTGTCTGGGGGACACAACACTCTGCCTTCATCCGGTGGCCTCCAAGGGGCTCTGCTCACCAGCCCACGTGGGACGTTCAAGTAGGTGCTCAGGACGTCTCAGGAGGGTGTCGGGCTGGGGTCATGGTGGGGGTTGGGCTGTGTGAGGGTCACTCACTTCATCATTAAGCTGATACGAGCATGACACCTACTGTGCGCCAGGCACAGTACACACATGGGCATCCGTTGTCGACAAGCACAGCACTTACAGCCTGGCCAGAGCGGGAAGATGTTTTTTTATTTTGAAATTTATTTTTATTGATTTCAGTGAGGAAGGGAGCAGGAGAGAGAGAGAAATATCAATGATGAGAGAGAACCATTGATCTGCTGCTTCTGCACGTCCCGCCTTGGAGATTGAGCCCGAAACCCGGGCATGACCCCAACCAGGAATCAACTGTGACCTCCTGGTTCATAGGTCGATGCTCAACCACTGAGCCACGCTGTCCAGCCAGAAGGTGGTGTTAAGAGGGAGGAGTGCTTAGGGTGCTTTAGGAATGACGGGGTCTCCATGTCTCTCCAGAAACCTCGGCTCTGGGCGGTCTCTGGGGGTTGGGAGACCTGGGATCTGGTGTTTTCCTTGGTGACTGTCCCCTCCCCACCACTTGGCCACCCCAGGCCAGAAGCTGGGGACTTGCTCTGAGCTGCAGGCCAGCCGAGCACACTTCAGAGGCCAGGGAAGAAGGGACACCTGCCAAGGTCACTCAACACAGCGTCAGGACGGGGCCCAGGTCCTCCCACAGGGGGTGGGGACCCTCAGCCATCGCCCCGGAGACGCTGGGTGGCCGAGCCACTGCCTGGAGGCCGTGCACCCTCTACTTGTCACTGATGCCGAGTGCTTACAGCGTACCAAGTACCGGTTGGGATCTTTCAAGCCCAACACACTTTTTAGGGGCACACGCTCCCACTTTACAGATGGGAAAACTGAGCAGAGAGGCCCAGAGGCTGCGTATAAGAAATAGCAGAGGCATGCCGAAACTGGTGTTGCTCAGTGGCTAGAGCTTCAGCCTATGGACTCAAGGGTCCCCGGTTTGATTCAGGTCAAGGGCATGTACGTTGGTTGCGGGCATATCCCCAGTAGGGGGTGTGCAGGAGGCAGCTGATTGATGTTTCTCTCTCATTGATGTTTCTAACTCTCTATCCCTCTCACTTCCTCTCTGTAAAAAAATCAGTAAAATATATTTTTTTAAAAAAAGAAAAAAGAAATAGCAGAGGCAGAGGCAGGACTTGAATCCAGACCGGCTGGCTCAGAGCCTGGGCCCTTTGCTCTGCACCACACCACCAGCCCTCCGTCCTGGGCCGGCGCCTGCCCTGCTTCCAGGGGCTTCAGCGCCTCAGAGCCTGGTTCCCAGGCCTGCGCCAACTGCTCACAGCAGCCCTCCCACTCCAAGCCCTTCCTTGAGCCAGATGTGCAGCCTGGAGCCAGGCCGGGGATGGGAGCCTCGTGCTCGGACCGCCCCAGTCAAACCCTAAACCCCAGGCACAGGCTGCACCTGGGACAGCCACCCCCCTTCAGCACCAGGCAGCAGTGAGAGGTCAGGGGTGCGGACTCCGGGCCGGCCAGCCTAGGTCACACCCCTGCTCACCGACACTAGCTCTGTGACCTCAGCAGTCACTAACTTGGTATGTGCATCTCAGGATTCTCATCTCTAACGTGGAACGGTAGCAGTATTGATGTCCTGGTTGCTGGGAGAGGATTAAATGGCTTAACTCATGTCAGGCACTGGGACCAGTACCTGGCACATAGTAGGCACTCCTGTTCGCGGAAGAAGAAAGGAACTGGGGTGTCTAGAGGGTCCTGGAGAGGAGCCTGTTAGCTCTTGGCTGGGCATGGAAAGGAACCCCCTTCGGCAGCTCTGCGCTGCACCAGCCACTGATAAAGCTACCACGGTGGCCCCAGTGACCTGTAAATAAGTGTCCTGGGGAATGGGGGACATTCTGTGTACTCGTGGCTGAGCCTCTGCCAGCTTGGAGGATGGCCTGCTGCCATGCAGTGACTCACCAGCAGAGAGGCCGAGGGCTCACCTTGGGTGGCCTCCCTCTGCAGAGCCCCCAAGGCAAACTTCAGCCCTGGGGGCAGGACCAGAGGCGTGGTGGTGACCGAGATCTGTTCCTGGTCCAGACAGAGGATGTGAGGTCTGGGGCGGGGGCAGGGGGAAGGGCGGGCGGGGAGACAGAGCAGGTGTCCTTTGTAGAGTGCGTCCGTGGGCAGTGCCCCATCCTCACTCTTTCCAGAGGAGTCAGTGTTCCCATTTCACAGATGAGAACCCCGAGGCTCACAGAGGCTGTGCCATAGGCCCACGGCCCTGGAGCTGGCACGGAAGAGCTGGGGCATAAACCTGTGAAGGAAATGCCTTGCCCACTGTGTTCTCTTCGGAGCCAAGGCCAGAGCCTGGCACAGGGCAGCCGGGCTGTGCACACCTGGGGAGGGGCTGGCTGGAGGGACTGCTCCATGCCTCCGGCTGCCGGGATCCCAAGCAGCTCAGAGGGGAAGCCAGTGGCTGCCTGGGGAGGGGCTTCCCCAGGGGCTTTGCACACGGCCCAGTTACTGTGTGGTTTCAAGAAGAGGTTCACCCTCTCTGGGCTGCTGGGAAGGAGCAGGGCTCACCAGGGGCCGTCCTGCCCTCCCTCTGTGGTGGGGCGGACGGCAGCCAGGATGATGAATGGGCTGGGACACGGACACAGAGTGCCAACGAGCAGCTAACGGGGCTGGACGGCTCGGAAGCAGGTGTGAGGAGTCCGGGCGGTTACGGTGCGCACTCAGCACAGAAACAAGCAGAGAAGCCCAGGCTGGGGGCGTTGGAGCAGGAGAGCTTTAGGTCAGACAGCAGGAGGAACCGGCTGGGTGGTTGGACTCTGAAGCAGACGAAGTGCTGGTGTGGGGAGGCAGGAAGAGTGAGCAGAGGAGAGGCTCGTCTTCTGAAGGAGACAGCTGCATGGCACCCCTCTCCTTGGAGGATCAAAATGGTCCCCTCCACGTTACCATGGAAACCAGAGGCCTGTCGCTTCTATGGCCAGGGGAGGTGGGGAGGAAGCAGGCCTGAGGAGGGGCCTCAGAGCTGGAGGTCAGGAGACTAGGGTGTGGACTGAGAAAGGAAGGAGGTGTCATCCCCCCCCCCCCGCCTCGCTCCCTTGGGAGAGAGAGATGCCCACGAGAACTGTGGCTGGGGGCCCCCCAGGCAGAGCCCCAGCCCCCACCCCCATGAAATGCTGTGTTTTTCCAGTTGCCGGTGGTGACGTGGCCGTGGTCCCAGCTGGGCCATGAGCAGCCTGTGATTTCACCCTGGGCTGGTTCATTACCTGATGTCTCCATGGCAACCGGCCTGGGCCCTCATGGGGCCAAAGTCCTCAGGGGGAGATGGCAGCCTTGGCAAGAGGCGCCCGCCCCTCGCCTGAGGTGGGGCCAGGAAGGCGGGGAGAGGCTGGGGTCGGAGCCCTCCGCGTCACCACCACCTCTCTGACGAATGACCTTGTTCAAGTCTTGTCTCCTCCAGGCCTTGGCCGTCTCCTCCCAGCTTCCTCTGTGCTCAGCCCTCCTGCTCCCGTGTCTGTGGCTCAGGCGATGGCCAGGGGCCCTAGAACTGTCCCACCCCTTTCAGAGTCCCCAGGCAGCCTGGAGCCAGTGCCACCTTGAACTGCACTTGGCAGCCCGCTTGTGCTCTCTGGAGCCTTAAGCAGGTCACTTCCTAACCTTTCTGACTGGAACCTGTAAGAATAGACACATTTTGCATCATGACCTCATACACACACAGGAAGTTACCATATTCAGCCCCGCCCAGCCCCACTGCAGCCATCCCTCCCAGTTATGCGGACATCCAACGGGGGTGAGGGAGTGGAGGGGAGGGTAAGAAGCTGGTCTCTCCTTTGTTTTTGTTTTATTTTGTTTTGTGTGTGTGTGTGTGTGTGTGTGTGTTTTGTTTTTTTAAAATATATTTTATTGATTTTTTACAGAGAGGAAGGGAGAGAGATAGAGAGCTAGAAACATCGATGAGAGAGAGTCATCGATCAGCTGCCTCTTACACATCCCACACTGGGGATATGCCCGCAACCAAGGTACATGCCCTTGACCGGAATCAAACCCGGGTCCCTTCAGTCCCCAAGCTGACGCTCTATCCATTGAGCCAAACCGGTCTCGGCTTGTGTGTGTTTTTAAAAATATATTTTATTGATTTTTTACAGAGAGGAAGGGAGAGTTAGAAACATGGATGAGAGAGAAACATCAATCAGCTGCCTCCTGCATACCCCCTACAGGGGATGTGCCTGCAACCAACGTACATGCCCTTGACTGAATCGAACCTGGGACCCTTGAGTCCGCAAGCCTGCGCTCTATCCACTGAGCCAAACCAGTTAGGGCTCCTTTGTGTGTCTTTTTTTTTTTTTTAAGTATACTTTTATTGATTTCAGAGAGGAAGGGAGAGGGAGAGAGAGAAAGAAAGAGAAACATCGATGAGAGAGAATCATTGATTAGCTGCCTCCTGCACACCCCCCATTGGGGGTTAAGCTCGCAACATGAGCATATGCTCCGATTGGGAATCGAACCGTGACCTCCTGGTTCATAGATTGACAGCCACTGAGCCACGCTGGCCGGGCTGGCCTCTCCTCCGCAGGCATCCCAAGCTTCTGCGGGTGTCGGGGAGCCCCTCCCTCGTTTCATAGGCGGCCAGAGCGAGAGGGTGGTGGAGGCAGGGGCAGCAGAGCCTGCGTCAGCGCCCTTGCAGAAGGTGTCTGTGTTCCCCGCCCGCTGCGGCTTTCAGATCGCCAGGCCCTCGTGCCTCTTCGTTATCCGTTTGGGATCCTCATAGACAGTTCTCCAGAACAAGCTCCCTCAGCTGCCCATTTCACGGATGAGGAAAACAGTGGCTCAAGGCCTCACAGTTGGAAAAGGGCAGGCCTGGGATTTGAACCGGGCAGTGCGGCACCGGAGCCCCCGCAGCTGTCTCTGGAGCAGGCCCTGGCCCGGGGATCCGGGTACAGCCGAGACCCGGAGGACCGAAGCCGGGAAAGGGTGTCTGTCAGGACAGAGGACCCGGAGCCGGGAAAGGGTGTCTGTCATCCTGCAGGGCGTGACCTGATTCTGAGCCCAAACAAAGGTGCTGGGATCTGCACTTGCGGTCACTGGCGAAGGGCCACTCAGGTGGGGGTGGGGAAGGCATCAATTCTCAGATCATTTCAGCTCCAGTCGCCTGAGGGCAGCCCACCTAGAAGGAGCAACAGGTGTACCCCTTGGAAGCCAAACACATGGGGGGGGGCAGCTGGAGCACCCACGCTACCTCCTAGGCAGGGGAGGGGAACACCCAGCCCATGGTCTGGCCCTAGCAAGGCCTTAGGGGTGAGTTCATTCAATGTTTGACCAAATCCGGCAGGCTGGTTTTTAAGTTGGTGATTTTGGATGGCCCTCGAGTTGATGTTACAAATATCCCAGTGGCCCTGAGCAGAGGAAAGGTCCCCCAGCCGGCTCTAGGCCCACCCCTTCCCCCTGTCCGCACCTGTGCAAGCATCAGAACCACAGCCTCTGGGGCTGCCTGATGCCTCCCAGCCAGGGACACACCTCCTGGAGGTGGTTGCTGAGGTGGATTGGGGGCAGGGCACAGGGAGGGCAGGACTCCGCGCACCGCGGAGATTTCGTCGGTTCAGCTGGGAGGAGCCTGCGTCATTTTCTGAAATTGTGGAGAAAGAGGAACGGGGGTCTGCGGCTCCTGCTTTGCCCCGGTTTGCTTGCGGTGCCGTTGGGCACCCATGCAGGGACCTGGGAGTCCTGTTAGGATTTGTGGATGTGGCTCAGCCACACCCCCTGAGCCAGAAAGGCCCGGGATGGAGCAGGGGCTGTGGCGGAGCAGGGAAGGACTGAGAGGAGCCGCCCGGGAGGCGGAGGGAGCCAGGAGGAGGGTGCGGCTCCGAGGGAGGAAGGATGGACTGTGTCCTGGGAGCCCCTAGAGGCCAGTGAGAAGCCACTGCTGAGCTTGGCTGGGGGCCACCCATGGGAAGCTGCTTGGCACGGTGGAGGGAACACGGGAGGCTGGGAAGTGGAGGTGAGGGCCTGGGTGAGGAGTCGGAATGCCGGCCCGAGTCCCTGAGCATCAAGCAGGTGCCACACGGGTGGACCAGTTCGATGGAGTGGGAGACACAACCATCCCGGAGAGAGAGCAGAGCCCCGGGGGGAGGGGGATCGGGGACAGGTCTGTCACAGGCGGGAAAGGCAGATGGTGGATGGTGTGAGCATCAATGCAGGCAGGGCTTCCAGGTGAAGAGAGAGGGCGATGCTTTTTGAAGGCTCTGGATCTCAGCGAGGAATGGGGGGGAAGGACTGGAGAGACAGGCCGAGGACCCCAGGCGGCCACGGAGATGGAGGTGGGTGCCAGGGACGGAGATTGGAGGAGGAAAGGCGGGTGGGGTGATTAGAGACGTGTGGGGGGACCCTTGGCAGAGTCCTGTCAGAGGAAGAGGAGGCACAGAGCAGGGCAGAGGTGTGAGGGTCACGGGTCAAGGGCATTGTTGACGAAGAGCTCAGAGGCTGTGCAGGAGAGAGGTAGGCCATGGGGGCCGGTGGAAGTTGGTACCTGAATTGGAGGTCTCCTGCGGCCAAGAGATGCCAGCGTGTGGGCGTAGAATGAGGGGAAATGGAGTCACAAGCGGATGGTGCCCACCACGGGCACCAGCCAGACTCTGGCTGCGGAGGCTCTGGGTCTGTTTTCTACAAAACAATGACGGTGCTAACAAAGTCACGCCCACCTCTCAGGGCCGGCCTAGCCGGGCTTCTGGGAGGACACTCCTGTTGCTCTTATTTCCAGATCTCTTCACAGGTGTCCCCAAGGATTGCCCCATGCCCCCGGGCGCAGGCCCCCTGAGCCCACTGCCCGCCAGCCGCCTGCCTGCCTTCATCCCGGACTATGTCACCGGCAAGGTAAACTGGTCACGTGGCACCCCGCCTTCCCCCGGCCTTCTCTGGGTCCTAGGCCGTTCCTGCGGCTCCCACAGGGAGCTCCCCCCTCCCGGCCACATGTGGCTCCTCGTCCTCTCAGGGGTAAATTTAGAAAATTTCGGGAACTGGACCAGGCTTGTTTAGAAAAGAGAGCCCCACCCAAAAGGGCTTCCTACCCCCCCCACCCTTCCCCACCCCCCACCCCCCCATTAGCTCAGCCCTGCAAATACAAGTTGTGTTACGCCCAGGACACCTCAGCAGCCCGCACAGGAGAACAGAGGGAGTGGGATTCTTAGATCTCGGGAGGGGCCTCACATCCTGGTGCATCATTTCTGCCCTTGCCCCAGAGGTCATGACCTTGAACGTACCCATGGATACAATGACCTCTTTGTTGTTTTTTTGGAGCACGTGCCACATGCTAGGCACTGTGCTAGGCATGGTGTGCCCGTGATCTCACTTCTGCTTCCCTGAGACCGAGGGGTACATGGCATCGTCCCGTTTAGCAGGTGAAGGAACTGAGGTTCTGAGATGTTATGCCCTTAGTCTGAGGATGCCCAGGCTAAGGGGCGGAGCCAGAACTCGAACCCAGGTCTGATCCACCCCCTGCACCAACTGCCTCCCCCCCCCTCCCAACACACACGCACACTTCTTTCTCTGCGTGCCAGGGGGCAGCAGGGCACGACCCAGGAGCAGGCAGACCCCCACCTCAGGGAGCCAGAAGGTGACCCACATCCCGTCCTGAGCTCTAGGATGCCTGGCACCTGCTGGCACCGTGCCCGGCCCTCCTGATCCTCTTCCTCCTTTTATTTTAGGACAAACAGATGGATTTCTGTTGGGATCCTTGGCAGGTCAGTGCACTCGCTCCCCCGCCCCCCAGTCTAGCCATCGCCCTCCTTCCACAGGGCCCAGCGTGGGCATTTGGTTCTGCCGGCCCTGGGGCCGGGGGGAGGGGAGGGCGGGGAAAGTGGCGGGGAAAGTGGGGAGGGTGGAGGGTCCTGTGGGTGTTGGCAGGATCGCCCTGGCCCTGCCCACCGCTCCGCAGCCTGGGGAGGTGGTAATGGGGGGGTGGTGGGGGGACTTCTGCCCACCTGCTCCCCTCCCCCACCCTGTGCAGAGATGCTTCCAGACCAACGGCTACCTGTCCGACTCCAGATCCTGCTCCAGCAGCTACCACGTGGCAGCCCTGGCCACCTCGTCCCTTGTGGGTAGGCGGCGCTGCCCTCCCTGCCCTGGGAGTTTGCACGGCCACCTGACACTAGCTGTGCGTGTGTGTGTGTGTGTGTGTGTGTGTGAGTGAGTATGAGTGTGTGTGTGTGAGTGTGTGTGTGTGTGTGAGTGTGTGTGTGTGTGTGTGTGAGTGTACGTGTGTGAGTGTGTGTGTGAGTGTGCGTGTGTGTGTGTGAGTGTGTGTGAGTGTGTGTGTGTGTGAGTATGTGTGAGTGTGTGTGAGTGTGTGTGTGAGTGTGTGTGTGAGTGTGTGTGAGTGTGTGTGAGTGTGTGTGTGTGAGTGTGTGTGAGTGTGTGTGTGTGTGTGAGTGTACGTGTGTGAGTGTGTGTGTGAGAGTGTGCGTGTGTGTGTGTGGATGTGTGTGAGTGTGTGTGTGTGTGAGTGTGTGTGAGTGTGTGTGAGTGTGTGTGTGAGTGTGTGTGGGAGTGTGTGTGAGTGTGTGTGAGTGTGTGTGTGTGAGTGTGTGTGATGTGTGTGAGTGTGTGTGTGAGTGTGTGTGAGTGTGTGTGTGTGTGAGTGTGTGTGAGTGTGTGTGAGTGTGTGTGAGTGTGTGTGAGTGTGTGTGTGTGTGTGTGAGTGTGTGTGTGTGAGTGTGTGTGAGAGTGTGTGTGTATGTGTGTGAGTGTGTGTGTGTGTGTGTGTGTGTAAGTGTGTGTGTGTTAGAGTGTGTGTGTGTGTGTGTGTGTGTGTGAGTGTGTGTGTGTGTGTGTGTGTGTGTTTGCGGGGGTGGGGGTGGGGGGATGGGGAGGGCAAAGCTGAATTGCAGCCGGAAGGATTGTGGCCCCGTGGAGTCACCATCTTCCAAATGCTGGGCTCCCGGAGCTGGGTCTGCAGGGAGCAGTGACGGGATTCCGCCCCCATGGGTGGGGTTGTCAGGGCCTCCATCAGCTCTGCGGGGTCCGTCCAGGTTTAGGTGTGTGCCCTGTGTGGCCTCCCAGCCCGCTCTGCAGGGATGGCATCTGCCTGTCACCGATGGGATTGCTGTGGGAGTGGCTTACGGAGGGACTTGCTCCAGGGCAGCCTGTAGGAGTGAGGGCAGCGGGGCAGGGCAGGGGAGGAGCCTGGCAAAGCCTGGTGGCAGGCGTCTCCCCTCCCCCAGCCCCATCCGCGGGAGCCAGAGCATGAATTGCAGGCAGAATGTCTGGCACTTAGGCCAGTTGGCTGGCTCGGCTGCCCCTGGGGAGGACCCCGCCCCTCGGGAACCGCTGGGTGAGGCAGCTGCCATAGCTAAGGGCGAGTCTCCAGAGAAGGGTGCAGGTGTGCCAGTGGGGGTGGGCACGCAGGCCAGGAACGGGGTCTCCGTGGGCCATCCCAGCACCTGCCCTGTCTCCCAGCACAGCCTTCTGGGCCATTCTCAGCGCTCTCCTTGCCACCACTCTGCCCAGTGTACCTTGTGTCGGCCTTTCCTTAGTCCCTTCTCCCTCATGCCTCCCCAGCTCCCCCGGGCCCTTGCTGCCCTCCTCCCGCCCCGCCCCCTTCTTACACACACACACACACACACACACACACACACACACACACGTATCAGCCTGTGCTGTTCCCTCCACCTGAACCCCTTCCCTCCACCTCCCTGCCCTTCAGAGGCCACTCAGACACCTCCTCCCAAAGCCTCCTCCTGCCAACACACCCTCCTTGGGGGAGGGCTCTCCCCTCTCTCTTCCCCTCCCTCCTCCCCACACTCCTCCCTGTGGTTTTCCTCTCCTTTTCTTTGTGGATACTGTCTTTCTTTTATTTCTTTTTTTATTTTTAATATATTTTCATTGACTTCAGAGGAAGGGAGAGGAAGAGAGACACAGAAACGTCAATGATGAGAGAGAACCATTGATCAGCTGCCTCCTGCGCGCCCCCTACTGGGGATCCAGCCCACCACTTGGGCATGTGCCCTTGACCAAATTGAACCTGGGACCCTTCAGTCCGCAGGCCGATGCTCCATCCACCGAACCAAACCGGCCAGGGGGATACTGTCTTTCTTAAGTGTTACTGCTCTTTACGTCCTGGCCCTGGAGCCGGTGACTCCCAGATCTCTCCGCCTTGGTTAAAGGAGGTGCTGAATCATTCTTGACAACCCTCCCTGTCCGCTCCACATCCATCCATATCCAATGTCTACTCCTAGGAACCCCTCAGCGCCCCCCGTCCCCCGCCCCCGTCTGCCCTGCCCTTGTCCCGTCTCCTGCTGGATCCCTTCAGTGGCCCCGAATGTCCCCCTGTCTCCACCCTGAGACCCTCAGCCTATAATTAGGATGCTCTTCCTCAAGTCCAGTCTAACCCGCTCCTCCTGCCCATCGCCCTGCTGTGGCTCCCACTGCTCTCAGGAGGACATCGGCGCCCTCAGCCTGGCTCTCAGTCCCTGGTCTGGCCCCTGGCAGGCGCCCCAGCCTCTCTGCCACCCCAGTCTGGTAACCCTGGAGCCACACCCGACCCCTCCAGGCCTTCATCGTCTCCTCTCTGAGACAGCCTGGATCTGTCTCACCCAACCTCCTTCAAAGCCCCGATCCAGTCCCCCTCCTCCAGGAAGCCTTCCCTGCCTGCTGCGCCCCACATGGGTCTCACCCTGCAGAGCTGGCACTGCCCAGGCACAGGGGTGCTCTCTCGGAGCTTTATTCATGGAAAAGGGGAGGGGTGGGGGGCGTCTTGAGTGGATGCTGGAGCAGATCTTGGGCAGAGGGTCTGAACTTGGCTGGAGAGAAATGAGGGGTGAGGTGAGGCTGGGCAGTAAGCTCCCCGGGGCAGGAACGCCGGCCGGGAGCAGGGCACCAGGAGGGGAGGGCATAGAGGGCATGGCACTGGCCGGGCATAGGAATCGGGTAGGTACATGGTGTTGTGGAGGATGGCACTTTGAGGATGCCAAGCATTGTTTGGGTACGAGGCATTGGGTGGATGTGGGGTACAGGCATTGGATGGATGTGGGATACAGGCATTGGGTGGATGTGTGGTACAGGGCATTGGGTGGGTGTGGGGTACAGGCATTGGGTGGGTGTGGGGTACAGGGCATTGGGTGGGTGTGGGGTACAGGGCATTGGGTGGATGTGGGGTACAAGCATTGGGTGGTGTGGGGTACAGGGCATCAGATGGATGTGGAGTACAGGGCATCGGGTGGGTGTGGGGTACAGGACATCGGGTGGGTGTGGGGTACGGGGCATTGGGTGGGTGTGGGGTACAGGGCATTGGGTGGATGTGGGGTATGGGGCATTGGGTGGGTGTGGGGTACGGGGCATTGGGTGGGTGTGGGGTACGGGGCAGTGGGTGGGTGTGGGGTACGGGGCAGTGGGTGGGTGTGGGGTACAGGCATCGGGTGGGTGTGGGGTACAGGCATCGGGTGGGTGTGTGGTACAGGGCATCGGGTGGGTGTGGGGTACGGGGCATCGGGTGGGTGTGGGGTACGGGGCAGTGGGTGGGTGTGGGGTACGGGGCATTGGGTGGGTGTGGGGTACAGGCAGTGGGTGGGTGTGGGGTACAGGCAGTGGGTGGGTGTGGGGTACAGGCATTGGGTGGGTGGGGTACAGGCATTGGGTGGATGTGGGGTACAGGCATTCGGTGGGTGTGGGGTACAGGCATTGGGTGGGTCTGAGGTACAGGGCATTGGGTGGGTGTGGGGTATGGGGCATTGGGTGGGTGTGGGGTACAGGCAGTAGGTGGGTGTGGGGTACAGGGCATCGGGTGGGTGTGGGGTACAGGGCATCGGATGGGTGGGTGGGGTACAGGCATTGGGTGGGTGTGGGGTACGGGGCATCGATGGGCCTGCGCGGGGGGGTAGGGTGCTGGGGGGGTCTGAGCGGGGCAGTCACTCGCTGCTCTCACGCCCAGGGGTGGTGCAGAGCATCAAGGACCACATCACGAAGCCCACGGCCATGGCGCGGGGCCGCGTGGCCCACCTCATCGAGTGGAAGGGCTGGCGGGCCCAGCGGGCGGGCTGGGAGCTGTCGCCGGCCGAGGACGAGCACTACTGCTGCCTCCCGGACGAGCTGCGCGAGGCCCGCTTCGCTGCCGGTCAGTGGCCAGGGGTCAGGGGTCAGGGGTCAGGGGTCAGGGGGCGGGGCTCGGACCGCGCGGCCAGGGCTCCGGTCCACAGGGGACGCAGTGTCTCCAGGGGGGCATTGTCTCCAGGGAGAGCAGTGCCTGGGGTGGCCGGAGCACTCGGGGGGCACTCTGATCACAGGGCCTGCATGGACAGCCCAGCCCCCTCCCCCCGGCTGGCTGTGGGTGCCAGGCCCCCCCCACTCCCTGCTGTGCCCTCTCTGAGCGGGTCCCGCTGTCCCCACAGGGGTCGCTGAGCAGTTCGCCATCACAGAGGCCACCCTGAGCGCCTGGTCCTCGCTGGACGCCGAGGAGCTGCACCCCGAGAACAGCCCCCAGGACGCTATCCAGCTGCAGGGTACCGCCAGCGGGCACGGGGGTGGGGGGGGGCCGGAGGACAGGGGCAGAGCTGGCGCCGCACGCCGCCCTGTCACCCAAACACTGTGACCTCAGATAAGCCTTTCTCCCCTCGGGCTCAGTTTCTTCATCTGAAAAATGGGGTTGGTGATCCTTGCTCTGCCCATAGCCAAGGGGTGCCCTGCCCATGGCCAAGGAGAAAACAGTAATAATAATAATAATAATAATAATAATAATAATAAATAATGTGAATTAAGAGCTTTCTGTGCTGGAACCCAGGGCACTACTGAGGGCTTCCACAAGCCTGGGTCCTGGGTGAAGCCAACATACCTGTTATCTCATTAACCCTCCTCTGGCTGGCGGGCCGGAGGCTCAGGGAGAACACTGGTCGGTAGTCCCAGTTCTCAGAGCGCAGGACTCAAAGCAGAGCCTGCTCCTAACTACGAGCACTGCCGCAGGGAGAAACGGCTCAGAGAGGTTCCGGGACGGGCCTGAGGTCACACAGCGTGGCAGTGACAAAGCAGGGTTTGGAGGCCGGTCTTCCACCTCCTGCCCACCCTCACACCCCAGGGGAGGCTGAGGAGCGGGTCCCAGACTAACCCTCACCCCCGCCGCCCGTTGGTTTTCCAGACCTGGACAGCGTCTACCTTCAGGACAGTCTTCTGAGCGGCCCCTCGCGGGACGACAGTCTGCTGGCCTTCTCCTCCCCCGGCCTCTGCCCTGACGGCTGGCCCTCACCTGAGGAGCCCCCCATCTCGGCTGCTGCCCCCCAGCCCCCCAGCCCCGAGCAGCAGCACCGGCCCCGGCTGCCGGGGGGCCTGCAGGGCTCCCTCCCCTCGGTGGACAGCGGCTCCCTCTCGGAGGACGAGGTGTTCTATAACTGAGGCCCCAGCCGGGACCCGCCGCCTCGCCTGCGGGCAGCTCGGGCGTCTCCGGACGTGGGGTCAGGCTGGGCCTCCCAACCCTTCGGGGCGGGCACGGGGTGGGGAGGCTGGGGGCGAGGCTGGCACTCCCGTGGACCACTTCGTGCCTCCGTGGACCTGCCCGCAGTGGGAGCCACCGTCCCTCTCCCCCTTCCACCCTCCGCAAGCTCACGGACTCAGAGACACCAGGGCAGGCCCCAGGCTGACCACCTCCCGGGGAGACCCACCTGCAGAGGGGCCTGGTCCCAGAGCCGGGCCTCCCGTCTCCCTCTGTGCTTCTGCCCGTCAGAGGCGGGGCAGCCTCTTCTGGTGGCTCAGCACCTGCTCCTGAGCGGTCATCCGAGGACACCCGTCTCCCTGGATTGTCTGACTGTCTGTCCCCCGCCCGCTGACCCCGGTGCCCCTGCTCCCCCTCCTGGCAGCCTCAGCCACCTCCCTGGGAGCTCTCTGAAGACATTAAAGTGGCGGATTCACCCCGGATGGACTCGGCCTGTCTCTGCTGGGGAGTCCTTGGGGCTCCTGGGCCGAGAGGGTCCAGGGCAGTGGTTCTCAGCCTTCATACAGCTCCTCACATTGTGGCGACCCCCCAACCATAACATTATTTTTGTTGCGACTTCATAACTGTAATTTTGCTGCGGTTCTGAATGGTAATGTAGATATCTGTGGCGTTAGAAGAGTTGAGAACCACAGGTCTAGAGGAACTGGGGGCAGGGCCCCTGCCCCTCAACACACATTCAGCTGGTCAGTGTGCTGCCCCCCAGCTGGGAGAGTCCTCACTCACAGGAGAGGCCTGAGGTTCTGCAGAGCCGCCCTGGGGCCTGCGCTGGCCGCCCTGGCTAGGCCAACGAGGCGGCGGGGCTGGGAGGAAGGTAGCTGGGCCACAGGGTCCTGCTCATACGTGAGGATGAGCAGCAGACGACCTGGTGAGGGACCCGCTCTCCCCAAACCTCCCTGCCAGGAGGGGGCGTGAGGAGGAGGGGGAGACCAGGACATCTTCTGGTCCTACTGTGTGCTCAGAGCCAGCACGGCAGGAAGCTGAGGTGCCGCGTGAGTGCCCTGGGAGCAGAGACGGGGGACGAGTGGCGGCTCTGGGAAACGGCTTTATTGCTCTCAGGGGCCTCTGGTCGGGAGCTGACCCCAGAGGGGAATCTCGCCTGCCCTTGGCGACAGCGTACACCCATCTCGTCCGTCACTGGCGAACTTGGCGGACGAGGGTGAGTGCCCACTGTGTGCTGGTTTTCTGTGGTCTGGCGTTGAGCTTGGTCCACGGTGGGGTTTGTTCTTCACGGCCTGTGGCACGGGTCCAGTCCAGGATGTGACATGGTGCATACGGAGCCCTCTTAGGAGCCGGTCAGAGCTGCAGGTCCGCTGAGGAGCTGAGCGGGGCTGAGGGAGGGCGAGCTGTCGGGGGGGGGGGGGGGGGGGGGGGGGGGGGGGGTGGCGGGAAGGCAGGAAGCCTGCCCCATCTGCTTCGCCGGGGCACTGGGTGCCCGGTTCATCTCGCCGGACTGGCTCACTTTGGGGCTGGTGGGTTTGTCACGTTGGAAATTGCTTTCTTCAACTAAAGCAGAGAAGAGGGGTGAAGGATGCACAGGAGGTTGTGAATCGGGGCTCCAGTGTTGTTTGATTCCCCTAAGGGTTGATTCTGGGGTGAATGTTCTAGTCAGTGCCTCCCCATTGCCCCGATGGGATCATTGAGGCATAGAGACCGGCAGGACTGGCCACTGGCCATAAAATAAGGTAGGGGTTGCCGAAACCGGTTTGGCTCAGTGGATAGAGCGTCTGTCTGTGAACTGAAAGGTCCAGGGTTAAATTCCGGTCAAGGGCATGTACCTTGGTTGCGGGCACATCCCCGGTGGGGGATGTGCAGGAGGCAGCTGGTCGATGTCTCTCTCTCATCGATGTTTCTAGCTCTCTCTATTTCTCCCTTATCGCTTCTCGGCCTTTTGGCTAAGATCAAGGGTAGTATCTATATCTCTCCCTTCCTCTCTATAAAAAATCAATAAAAAATATTTTTTTAAAATAAATAAGGTAAGGGTAGCCAGGCCCAGTGGCCACTTTGGGCCAGGAAGTGGGGCTCATCAGAACCCAGGAGGCCCCTCCACATTTGGACGGGAGGATATTGGTGCCTTCTGCCTCCCCAGCCTGCTCGAGTGTGGCCCCTCCACCCCGGGGGCCCTGGTACCTCCACCCAGGACACGCTGCCCACGGCTCTGCCTCGAGACGTCACGAAGAGGGACTGCAGGTTTAGCAGCTCGAACAGGTTGTGGGCCTGGAGGAGGGGTTGGTGGGAAATCTGGAGGGCAGGTGGCACCCACACCCCCTCTGGCTTCGATGTATCCCTGATCTGAGGCTTTGAGCAGAGGTGGAGGAGCGGGACCCACGCCTCCATGCCTCCCACCCAGGAAGGGGTTGAGGGACAAATGTGATGGTGGGTGGAAGACCAGGACCTGAGCCTGCAATGTCAAGCACGACCACCAGGGGTCGCCAGAGTCCACGCAAGGCACCAATGGGAAAAAAACCTGTTATCCAGCAACAGTGTCACAGAGGGGTTGGGACCACCCCCAAACCCCCAACTGGCTTCTTCCCCTCCCTGGCCCGGTCTTTCCAGGCTCTGTGCTTGTGTGGGGGAGAGGAAGGGTGATTAAATAATTTCCCCAAGATCATGCAGGGAGAATGCAGTGGGTCTGAAATGGAAACCCAAAGACATAATTGACTCGTCAGCTCTGCCTCTTTCCACCCAGAGGCTTCTATTGTGCAAACCCTCTCGCTTCCCTGTCTCCACAACGTCCCAACAACCCGGGAGTGGGGTTCGGAAATGCAGGAGCCGCTCTCCAAAAGGGAAGCGGCCCAGGAGGGACAGAGCCGCTGTGTGGAGGGAAGGTGGAGCTGAAGTTAACCTCTCCCGCCGGTCTTCCCCATCTACCCCGGTCCTTGTGCCCCTGCCTGAACCCTCCCCATTACCTCGTGCAGGGAGGTCTCCAGAGACAGCTGCAGGGTCACGGGCTCCACGGGGCAGCCCCCAGCCAAGATGTCCTGGAGAGACCGCTGGGGACAGGGAAGGGTTTCGGGTGCTCTCCCCCAGGCTGCCCCGCTCAGTCCTCCTCCCTCTCCCACAGATCAGCTATCCCCTCCACGCCCACCCTGCTGACTCCCCAACTCCCCCAGCACCCCCCTGTGAGTACCACTTGGTGTCCTGGAGCCCAGGAAGGTGGCTCAGCCTGGAGGGCCTGCAGCAGGTGGGCCCTTCGCACAGTGCCCACCAGGATCGGAGACTCTGGACAAGTGGAGAGGGAGAGAGAGAGGGAGAGAGGGAGGGAGGTAAATTATGAGGAAGGAATTTGCATTTCCTGGGCACCTACTATGTGCCATTACTGTGCTAGGTGTTCCTGTGTTTCTCAGGAACCTACAGCAGCTTGCAGGTCAGGGACTATTATCACCCATTTTATAGATGAGGAAACTGAGGCTCAGCAGCACAGAGAGGCTAATTGTCTCGCCTGAGGTCACTCAGCTTCTGACAGGAGGTGTGGTAGCCAAAGGAGGCTAAGGCTGCTGGGGGCCAGGAGGGGGTCTGCTCACCCGAGGCCCCCCAGGTGGCAGGCCTCAAAGCAAGAGCAGCTTTGGGACACCTATGCCATAGGACGGAGTTTTGTCTCCCACCCCCTCCCCTCCCCTCAGGAAGATTCACATCTGGTTCAGCCCAGTGAAGGCATGCACCAGGTTCTGAGGTCCTACTGTGTGCCAGGGGCTTGGCAGGTCTCAGTCCAGGCTGTCACTGGACTTTGCAGGGACTCGGATTTGAGGCCACAGCCTGATGTTTTTGCTTCTTACCCAGGAAAGCAAAAACTTTACAACTAGACCTGTATGTGCTTCACTTTTAAGCACATATACTTTAAGCCAGTGGTCAGCAAACTGCGGCTCGAGAGCCACAGGCGGCTCTTTGGCCCCTTGAGTGTGGCTCTTCCACAAAATATCACGTGCGGTCGCACAAGTACAGTGCGGTTGAAACCCATGCGCAGAAGTCGGTTTTCGGCCTGGGTGAGTCTGTTCTGAAGAAGATATTCTAATGCCGAGCCGTTTCTTGAGTGAGCAGAAGGGAGCTTTTTGCCTCCTGTGGCTCTGAGGCGGAGTGGACTCTGTCCGCAGGCCAGTTCTGTCTTTGTCCTGGGAGGGGAGGCCTCTCGGAGGGAGTCTCATCTGCACCCATGTTCGAGGGGGCCTGGGTGTGTCCTGTGGGAGAACGGGGGGCTGCCCCAGTTCGGGGGCGGAAACCTTGGGCCGTAGCATGGCTTCCCCCGGCGCTGCTGCTCACCGGGGGCTGAGGCCTCAGGGTGGCCCTGGGGCGGCGAGGGCCCGGATGGTTGTGCAGGTTGGTCACTGGGTAAGGGCCCTGCCCAAAGGACAGGGGGCACCAAAGCCCAGCGGGGCCACGCCTGCCAGGTGTGCCCCGTGCCTCAGGGCAGAGGGGGCATCGCGGTGACCGTGGCCGAGGGCGGACATGGCTGTACTCGCCCCACTTCCCTTCCCACTCGCACTGTACTCGCCCGTGGAGAACAATGCTCCCGCCCAGTGGTCGGCAAACTCATCAGTCCACAGAGCCAAATACCAGCAGGACAACGATTGAAATCTCTTTGGAGAGCCACATTTTTTAAACTTAAACTTCTTCCAACGCCACTTCTTCAACATAGACTCGCCCAGGCCGTGGTATGTTGTGGAAGAGCCACACGCAAGGGGCCAGAGAGCCGCATGTGGCTTGTGAGAGCCGAGGTTTGCCGACCACTGCTGTAGCCAGAGGCCTCCCCAAGACTCTGGTTTCTGTGTCTTTTAACAGGGGCCCCATTCACTGTTCTTCACAAAGCTGTTTGTCCTGGCCTCGGGGCCTGTGACCGGACTCAGCGGGCGATCTTTGAAGGGGAGGGAGGCTGATGACGGAGCCCCATCCTTCTATCCCCACGCCCAGCACACAGGCCTGGCCTCTGGAACCCCAGGTCTGCCCTGGAGAGCTTCGTAAGCGCCCTCTCATCTCTCATGGAAGCACAGAGACCACCCCAGCAGGCTGGTCACACTCCATCTCAACAACGAGGGGGAATCAGGCTCCAGAGCCGAAGTGCTTCCCCCAGAGGCGCCCAGTGACAGAGCCTGGATCCAGAAGGAGGGCCAGGGCCCCCTACCCTCTCCTGGGCCTGCGCCTTCTGAGAGGAGGCAGAGGGAAGGCCCCTCCCCCTCCCCTCCCCCTCCCCTCCCCCCTCCCCCTCCCCCTTCCTGCTGAGCACCTGTGCTCTCCTCCAGGGGGAACTCAGCCTTGTCGGTGGAGGTGATGACCTTGACCACCTCCTCCAGGGGCATGTCCTTGGCCAGTGCAGTGATGCTGCAGTTCATGAAGTGCTCCACGATGACGCGGTGAGAGCTGGAGGCCGAGAGAGAGGTGCTGCCGTCAGGTCCTGGGGTGAGGGCGCGAGGCGGGGAACCCCAGAGGGCGAGTTGCTGGTTCTCCAGGGTGGGCCCAGACCCAGAGGTTCCCGGAATGAGCAACCCCCGGAGCCCCGAGGACAAGAGGCACCTGGGGACAGGCTCACGGGTGGTCTGGCTCTGAATTCTCAGCCCCCCGCGCCCCCCCCATTCCCCCTCACTCCCCCCACCGCGTCCCTAGATCCCCGCAGACCAGCTTCGGGCTGTTTCACTGAGGAGCCTTCCTTAGAGAATGTCATTTGAAGAAAAGTTTGATGGCAAAAAAAAGGAGGGGAAGCTTTAAAGTTTGAAAACACCCCCATTTTACAGCTGGGGGAACTGAGGTTTAGAACAAGGAGGCAGCTTGCATGCATTTGGAGCTGGGTCCAGCCTCTTTGTCCTGCCCCTGCCTGGCTGAGGGAGGACCTCCAAGCCTGCTGGTACCACCTCCACAGAGCACTGTGGGGAGTGCAGGGCCTCCCAGGCCTGCTGCTGACTCTGTGTGGCCTGGTACAAGACACGGTACCACTCTGAGCCCGTTTCCAACACGTGGGCGGCCTCTGTCCTGTTGTGAAGACAGACTAATGACCAGTGCGATACGGAGGCCCTGCCGAAATCGGTTTGGCTCAGTGGATAGAGCGTAGGCCTGAGAACTGAAAGGTCCCGGGTTCGATTCTGGTCAAGGGCATGTACCTTGGTTGGGGGGACATCCCCAGCAGGGGGTGTGCAAGAGGCAGCTGATCGATGATTCTCTCTCATCCATGTTTCAACTCTCTATCCCTTTCTCTTCCTCTCTGTAAAAAAATCAATACAATATATATTTTTTTAAAAAAAGACAGGGAGGCCCAGGAGGCCCAGGACTCGCCCAGGGTCACGCAGGCAGCTGGGGAGAGCGAAGACAAGAGGCAGCAGTGTGCCGGCCCCTCCCACACCACCCAGATCCAAGGTCAGCCGCAGTGAGGTTCTGGGGGAAGCTTTTAACAACCACCACCACCACCACCACCACCACCACCACCACCCCCCGCCATCAGCCAGCCTGAGGCAGGGCCCCTCACCTGATTTTCCGGCCCCGGATCCAGGGCAGATACGGCAGCTTCTTGACGATGATGGTGCCGTCGTAGAAGGAGGGCTGGCAGCTCTGGGCGATGGCGTTGGCCGCCAGCACCGCCATCAGCACGGGCAGCGCGTGCACGATCTGGCCGGTCAGCTCGAAGGCCAGCAGCGCCGTGGAGATGGTGTGGGTCACGGCCCCCGAGAAGGCCGCAGCCCCTGCAGGGGGCAGAGCCGGGGCGGGGGCTCAGGCCAGGGGCCAGCCTCCCGCAGAGGGCGCGGCTGGTGTGGCTGTGGCCACGGTGGGAGCACCCAAAGCCTGGGCTCGGTGAGGCGGAGAGCAGTGAGGGAGGGGGTGGGGGGTCGGGGACAAGACAGGTGCTGGAGAGGGTAATGGGGGCTCGGGGAAAGGTGGGGGCTCATGGGGGTCTCTGAGACCACCCTATGCTCCGCAGAACCGCTGGCTGATCCTCCGGGTCCAGCCCACCCAGTGGGGCCCTGTCCCCTTACCTGCCAGGGCATACCCCCCGGGCATGATGGGGTTGGTGACCCCTCCGGCCACGATGCCCTCGGGGAAGGCAAGAGAGAGGGCCTCCCCTATGAGGCGCCCGACAGCAGCTCCTAGCCATAGACCGGGTGAGCAGGCTGGCCCGGCCCCCCTGCCCTCCATCCTTGGGGATGAACCCAGGACCAGCCATGGCTTCCCCGTCACCCTGAACCTCTGAGACCCTCAGGCCCCCAGACTCACCGAAGATGAATATGGGCATGAAGTAGCCAGCGGGCATGGGAATGGTGGTGGCCAGGATCAGCATCCAGAACTGCGGGCGGGGAAGCCAGAGGGGCAGAGGCTAGAAGCAGCAGGACCGGAGTGGGCAGGGGAGGGCCGGGACCCGGGCCAGGGCATGTCCCAGGGAGGAAGAGGATGCTCGGGCACACGGCTGGGGTCTGGTGCCAGAGAAGGCGTTGGCCAGCGGAAGGAACTGGACTCTGACATAGTGCCTACTGTGTGCCAGGGCCTCTCCTTCCTTCCCTCTCAACCTTACCTCTGAGGTGGGCACAATGACTATCCCATTTTATTTTATTTTACTTTATTTTTTAATATATTTTATTGATTTTTCACAGAGAGGGATAGAGAGTTAGAAACATAGATGAGAGAGAATCATTCATCAGCTGCCTCCTGCACACCCCCCACTGGGGATGTGCCCTTGACCGGAATCGAACCTGGGACCTTTCAGTCCACAGGCCGACGCCCTAACCACTGAGCCAAACCGGTTTTGGCTGACTATCTCATTTTAAAGGCAGGGAAACCAAGGCTCAGAGAGCCGGAGCGGCTAGGCCCGGACACACAGCGGGCAGGGGCCAGGCCAGGGCGTGTGGGCAGAAGGCCCAGGTGCTGTGCTTTGTGCCGGGGGAGGCACCCCAACCCCCCAGGACTGGTCTCGGCTGTAGGCACACCCCTGGGGGCCCCGGGGCGCCCACCTTCATCACCAGGAAGAAGGCCAGGGTCCCAAAGATGGTGAACCGCGGGTGGTACCACTCGAACCACAGGTTCTGGGGGTCTGGCTCCGCGGGCCAGGGTGGGGACGAGTTCCGGGTCATCAGGGCCCACGAGTTGTTGTCAAACAGGGTGTCCAGGTGCTGCTTCATGGACAGCTGGAGCGGCGGGGGGTGGGGGGGGCTTATTCAGAAAAATGCATGGGGGCCCCTGCCACCCCCCAGGCAGCCACCCCTTCCCCCCCTGCCTGATCTGGCCTCCCCCCCGCCCCCCACTTCCCAGTGTGGGGGACTTGGAGCTGCTCAGAGCCTCCCCTTCGTGGGGATTAGGGGGATCAAACTGGGGTCCCCATCCCCCTGCCCCGGCTCAGGGCCCTTACCCGAGAAGCCATGAAGCGGCCCACGCCCGGGGGGTAGGTGATGGAGGCGAGGATCAGGGCGGCCAGGGCGGCGTACAGGGGCTTGCTGTGGGGGGGAGGGGGGAGCTCCAGGGCCACTCCCCCTTCGCCCCCACCTCACGGTCCCACCTCACGGCCCCACCACCCTGCGGGCTGGCACTGAGGCAGGTGCAGGGGGAGAGCCCGTTCCCCAGTCGCTGTGTGCAGGGGCAGGGCTGATGGCAGAGGTTGGCACAGAAGCCCCCTGGGACCAGGACTGAGGCCAGCCCGGCCCGGGTGGGGCCAGCACGTGGCCAGCCAGGGCAGCTGTGTGGGGGGGTGCTGACTCTGAGCTGCCAATGCCAGGGGCAGCCGCAGTTGGGGGAGGAAAGGGGGCGCAGTGACGGGCTTGGGGCTCCGGGGGGAGTGGGGTTCAGTGAGGGATGAGGACCTGAGAGGGTGTTATGAGGGAATGGGGGCTCCTTAAGCGGGTGGGGGCCAGGGGGTTTGGGAGGCTCAGTAGGAAGATGGGGTGCAGTCAGCCCCTGGGGGTGAGGGTCTCCGGCCCAGAGCCCACCTGGTGGCCAGGAGTTTGGAGGTGAGCGGGTTCGTCTTGACGAAGATGAGGAAGTTGCGCTGGCAGAAGAGGTAGGCGCAGCTCAGGACGCCGCAGATGGCCCTGCGGGGTGGGGGTGAGCCAGGGCAGCCGCTCCGGCTGGTGGGGGGGGGGCCCTGTGGGGCTGCAGGGACCCGGCGGCACTCACCCCAGCGCCACGAAGAAGAAGATCTCGGGCAGGTCGAAGGGGACGTCCACCCGGAAGCTGGTCTTGAAGAGGGAGGTGATGGTCTCTGGGGGGAGGGGAGCGGGGGTCTCACTCACACCCCAGCCCTGGCCCCTGCTCCCGCCCCACTTTGCCCCTCTGCCCTCAGGGCCCCATCCTTCCCGGCCATACAGGTCAGCTCCCTCCTCCCGCCTCGGAGGAGATGGGGATGGAAGAGGAAGGAAAAAAGATGTGAGGAAGAATGGGAGGAGGAAGAGGAAAGAGAGGAGGAAGAGAGGAAGGAGAAGAGGAGGGGAGGGGAAGAATAGGGAGGAGGGAGAGGAAGGAGAGGAGGAGGGAGATGAAGGAGGGGAGCGGAAGGAGAGGAAGGAGGGGAGGAGGGAAAGGGAGGAAGGGAGGGGGAAAAGAAGGAGGGAGAGGAAGGAGGGGAGGAGGGAGAGGAAGGAGAGGAGGAGGGAGAGGAGGGAGAGGAAGGAGAGGATGGAGAGGAAGGAGGGGAGGAGGGAGAGGAAGGAGAGGAGGAGGGAGAGGAATGAGGGAGAGGAAGGAGAGGAGGAGGGAGAGGAAGGAGAGGAGAGGGGCAGGGAGTCCCGGGACTCACCCTGCTCGCTGTTGAAGACGGCCAGCAGGCGGAACATGAAGGCCCCGCAGGTGGCAGCGAAGAAGCCACGCCAGTAATCCCAGACGGAGAAGTGCGAGGACATGACCTCGATGCTGAACAGGACGCCTGGGGGGCGCGGAGCTCAGACAGAGCCCGGTTCGCCCTCCCGGCCGAGACCGGCCTCCCTTCTCTCTGTTCTGAGAGGCAATGGGGGCGGGGGCAGGCACCCCGCCTCCGGGGACCAGGCCCTGCACGCCCCGCCGCCTCCATCCCAGCGGTGGCTCTGCCATGGCCCCATTGCACAGGTGGGGCAGTGAGGCTCCGGGCAGAAAACCTGGTCCAGGGCCGCCCAGACCGCTGGTCTCACACCCAAGTCTGCCTAAGGGGACCCGGAGCGCCTGACACCCATCCCCTCCCCGCACCCTGTGTGGGCAAGACTGCTGTTAGAGCCAAGACCAGAATGAGTCCCTCCCTCCTCCGGGCCTCAGCCGGGCCCTCCAGGGGACGGGGGCCGGCGGGAGCCCAGGGTGCCAGGGGGTGGGGGTGGGGGGTCTCACCGCTGAAGGGCGCTGCGAAGACCGTGGCCACGCCCACCGCCGCCGCGGCCACCAGCATTTCGTTCTGCTTGCTCTTGTTCTGGGGGATGGGGTGCTGGGCTCAGAGGCAGCCTCTCCCTCTCATCCCCTCCCGGGGGCCCTCCCTGAGCCCCTCACCTCGGGCTCCCCGATGGTCTGGGTGCGCACGCGGCCCAGGTAGGCGGCGATCATCACGCACAGGTGCACGAAGGGGCCCTGAGGGAGGAGGGACCTCTGAGGGGGGCAGGCCCCTGCTCCTCCCCCTCAGCGCCCCGGGTAGGGGGACAGAGGGACCTCACCCGAACACAGCCTGGTTGCCCCCCCCCCCCACCTCTTCGGTCTTCCCAGCCCTTGGCCACACTCTGGCCTGCCACCTCCCCAAGACGGAGCCCCCGAAGGCCGGCACTGGCCCGAGTCCCGCCTGAGCCCGCCTGAGCCCGCCTGAGCCCGCCTGAGCCCGCCTGACCCCGCCTGACCCCGCCTGAGCCCGCCGGGGTGGGGGGCAGGGGAAAGGCAGGAGGGGGAGAGCGGGGGGGGGGGTGGGGGGGGTGCTCTCTCGCTCGCTCGTACCACTTTGCCCAGGAAGATGGTGCTGCCGCAGGCCAGGGTGCAAGTGAGACCCACCACCTTGGCCCCGAAGTTCTTGATGTCCAGGTAGTCCTCCAGCACCACCCCCGACAGGATGGTCTTCAGCTCCGGGAGCCCAGAACCTGGGCAGCGGGAGGGACAGACTCTTTGGAGACACCTGACCCTGCAGAGCGTTTCATACACCACACACACACACACACACACACACACACACACACACGCACACGCACACACATGCACACACACACATGCACACACACTCCTCTTGTCAGGCCCTTTAAAGCCCCAGGAACAGGTTTCATAAACCCGTTTTCCAGAGGAGGAAGCGAGGTCAGAAAGGAGACGTGAATGGCCCATGTCCTCCCCGCTGGGCCTGGCAGGTGGCTGTGGCAGACTTGGGGGGGGGGGGCCACACAGGCCATCCTACATGCTCCCCTGGAGTTCCCATCGGCTGGCCAGAGCTAGAGGCAGAGCTGAGAGGCCTGGGAGAGCCGGGCCCCCCATCAGCCCTGCCGGGAATTCTCTGGGTATCCGCCCTGCAGGAGAACCTGCCGCTGGTTCTCCCCATCGCCCTCCAGAAGAATTCCCCGGAAGAGACCGGAGGCCTCAGCGACCCAGGAGTCCAGATCTGGTCCTCGTGCTGTGTGACTCGGGGCAAGTGACACGACTCCGCTGAGCCTGATTTCTCCGACCACGAAGCAGGGGTCCTGCTTCCTGCCCCCGCCCATCAGAAGCCCGGGGGCATGGGCCAGCAGGGGGCGGGGGGAGTGGGGTGTGGACTGCAGGGCCAGGCCGGCCTCACCTCCGGAGAAGGGCGTGATGCTCTGTGAGAAGCCCGAGGAGAAGGAGACCAAGGCCATGGGGTACACCGTCCAGGAGAGGTACCGAAGCAGGTGGCTGTCCCCGATCTCCCGGTACAGCCACTTGTGTGCTGGGGGCAGCCAGGAGGCAGGGGTCAGGGAGTGCCCGCCGGCTCTGCAGCCCTCGGGTGCCCACCGCTGACCAGGAAGCACGGGCCTGGAGAGGGGAGGCCCGGGCCGCCAGGGAGCAGCAGAGCCCCAGGAGGAGCAGGAGCAGGACCCCGGATCCCCACCCAGGTTTGCTACTCCCTCGCTGAGGGGCCTTGGGCCAGGGACTCAACCTCTCAGAGCCTCTGTTTTCCTGTCTGCCAAATGGGCTAGCGATGGTACCTCCCCCACAGGGTCATTGTGAGAAATGAGGCAGAGGGGGAAGCTCCTCAGACAACGGCTGTCTGGGGCAGGGCAGGGGCTCAGTGGCACCCCAGCCAGTTACCCTCTTCCTGCCCCGCCCCCTCCTCCAGGGAGCCCTGGGGTGGAGAGGGCCTGCTGACCCATGGTGGTCTAAGCCAGTGCCCTCCCCCAGCGACTGAGTTGAGAGCAAGGAGGGCGGGAGGGAGGGAGCTAGCAGCAGGCCGAGGGGAGCATGGGACTCAGACGAAAGGGCTCCAGGGAGCACTCAGGGCTCTCTCACGCCTTGTGCAGGTGAGGAGACCGGTGCTCAGAGACGGGCAGGAGCTTGTCCAGGGTCACACAGCAAGCCCAGAGCCATGCCGGGCCCTGGCCTGTGTTCTCAGTGGTTAGACCAAGGGTCTCGAGCTCAATCCCCGGTCCAGGGCACATGCATACCTGGGCTGCAGGTTCAATCCCCAGCCTTGGTTGGGGCACATGCGGGAGACAACCAATTAATGTGTCTCTCTCACATTGATGTTTCTCTCTCCTCCCCAGCTCCCTCTCTCTCCCCGCTCCTCCCTCCTTTCCACTTCCTGTAAAAACCAATGGAATAATATCCTCGGGTGAGAATTAACGACAACAGCAAAAAGAGCAATGGCAGCACCAGACCAGGCCTCCTCCCCACCCAGACCCCTCCCAGCCCACCCTCACCACCACCCCCGCTCACATCTGGGGGTGCATCTGGCCTGCTGAGGTGCGGCACACTCAGACGCCCTGGGCCCAGAGCAGGCCTGCGTGCCGGGAGGGCTTACCTCGGACCACGCGCCCCACGGTGAAGCTCATGGTGTAGCTGATCAGGGCCATGAGCACGCCCAGGGTCGCCAGGAAGTACCAGTCCTCGCCCACGCGGAACAGCTTCCGCTTCAGCCACTCCAGGCCGCCTGGCGCGGGGGCACGGGGCACGGGGTCACAGCCCAGAGCCGGGGGGCACGGACAGCCCTTCCCGGCAGCCTGCTCCAGCTCAGGGCAGGAAGGGCAGGGCAGTGTGGGGCTGGGGAGGTGGGCCAGTCCAGGGTCGCCTGCTGGGCACTGCCTCACGTGGGGCAGAGCAGGATCTGGGGTGGGGGGGTGGCAGCGCGGGGGCCTCGAGGGGCCTGCCCCACCCCTGCCCCGCACTGGGGTACTTATGGAGGAAGGATCAAGGCCCAGGGTGAGGAGCAGTGCTGGGAGCGCTCTCTGTAATCAGCACAGGGGCCGGATCTTAGACAGCTCAAGGGTCTAGCCACCCTCCTGTGTGGTCCCAGCACCTGCGGGGTGGGCGTGGGGCAGAGAGCACCCCCTGGGCCCTTAGCAAGGCGCCTGGCACAGTGGTCAGGCATCAGGGCTGCAATCCCAATAGACAGATGGACAGACAGGCCCCTTCCCCCCTGCCACCAGGAGGCGCTGGCAGTGCTGTGGGGGCAGAGCAAGGGGGAGGGCAGCTCTGGGCTTTCAGGGGCGGGAGGTGCAGCCCGGGAGGGGGTGACGTCCTGAGGGGCCCCCGAAGGGGAGGGGAAGGGGCCCCAGCTCTCACCTCCGATGCGGCGGCGGAGATGGGGACACGGGCCCCACAGCTCCTGGAGCGTCACAGGGTTCCCCGAGGAGCCCTCTCGCAGCCCCACCAGCTCCTCCATCGGGTCCCTGAGGCAGCCAACAGGAGGGTGGACCCTCGTGAGCTGCCCCAACTCCCATGCACTGGCCCCGGCCCTTCCAGTAGTGCCACTTCCCTGTCAGAGGAAAGGTGGCGTTCCCCTGTGTGTGCGTGCGTGTGTGTGCGCGTGTGTGTGCATGTGCGTGTGTGTGTGTGCGTGCGTGTGCGTGTGCGTGTGCGTGTGCGTGTGTATAAAGCTACCGGAGGGACATAAGTCCAGCGTGCCCTGGGTGTCAGCGAGGGTGTGCATGTGTGTGCAAAGTGTGCGGTGGGGTTCTTCTCTGTGCCCTTCGCGTCCAGCAGCCAATTGGCCAAAGCAGGTGTCCGAACCCAGAGCCCCATCCCCCTGCCCCCCGAGGCCACCGCCCCTACCCTCCCTGGACACATGTCTGCTTCCCCCTGGAGGCTCTGACGCCCTGAGCCCCCTCCCTTCTGCTCAGGCCCCAGATTCAGCAAAACCCCAGGCCCATAAGGAGAGGCTGGAATGAGATGCCGGCTCCCTGCCCCTGCCCTTCTGCTCCTGCCCGGCCTGCCCGGGCCCCGGCCAACCCAGCCAGGTCCATCCCCAGCTCTGCACCCAGCAGCCCCTCACCTGTGTCCGTCCGCCCCGCTGCGGCCCCGGACGGCCTCTAACAGACTCCCGTGCTGCAGCGCAGGGCACCTGCACAGGTGTGTGCTCCACCAATCAGCACCCTGCCCCCCCCAACCCGCCCTGCGGGTTCACTGCGGCTGTTAAGAATGTCCTTGACAAACCGACCAGAACTGCCCAGGCCGGCTGGGCCGTGCAGCCGGAGCAGCCAAAGGAGCCGGGAGCAGGGCTCCCCTCAGCCGAGCGTAGCCACGAAGCCGGCCGCAGGCAAGGGCACCCGAGGCTTTGGTGGCGGCCCTCACACACACAGCGGCCGTGGAGGGTCATCTGTGGGGCTGAGGGCCGGGCCCTGGACTCTCAGAGCTGGGTGTGGAGGGATCTGAAAGAGCAGAGAAAGGAGGGGAGGAAGATGGCGGAGCAGGAGGAAGGCCTGGGGCAAAGGTGAGGGCACTGTCATTGCTGCCCCCTTGCAGTGTGCCAACAACCCCCCCACACACACACTCCCATCAGTGAGTGCCCCTGGGACCCAGCCCCGTTCAAACAAATGGAACCTCAAAGAGGTGTAGCTGCTTGTCAAGGTCACAGAGGTCAAGGGCAGAGCTGGAACTCCCCTCCACCCCCCCGCCCCAGGTTTGCCTGTCTCCAAAGCCTGGACAGCACCCCACGGTCCTGCCCTGACAGCCCACCTTGCTCAGAGCTGGGCGGAGGCCACAGCTGGGCAGGGGCAGTGGATCCAGTGGCCAGGGCCTGGGGATGAACTTAGACTTGATCCTGGTGTCCAGCCCCTCCAATCTCAGAAAACTGCCTCTCAAACCACAGGCTTCTGGGTAAATGCCCAGACTTTGTCACACCCCAAACACAGGGTGGGAGCCAGGTCATGGGGGGCATGGTGAGGGAATAAGCACATGTCACACCCTGGCTACATGCCAGGCCCTTTATTCTGCAACTCAGTTCCCTTAAGTCTGCACCCTGTGAGTCCCGGTCAGCACCACCGTTTTTGCAGATGATAAACGGAGGATCAGAGAGGTGCAGTCACTCACCTGAAGTCACACAGCAGAGGCTGAGCCCAGACCAAGACTACGCGCCCTTCCCCCTACCTGGAGCTCCTCAAACTCCGGTGACTGACACAATCAAGGCAAGGTTTGGGCACAGAGCAGAGGATTTTTGTCTGATGCCACTTTTTAAAAATACATATACTCTATTGATTTAAAATATACATATATTTTATTGATTTTTTTACAGAGAGGGAGAGAGATAGAGAGCTAGAAACATTGATGAGAGAGAAACATCAACCAGCTGCTTCCTGCACACCCCCTACTGGGGATGTGCCCGAAACTAAGGTACATGCCCTTGACCGGAATCGAACCTGGGACCCTAGAGTCCACAGCCCGACGCTCTATCCCCTGAGCCAAACCAGTTAGGGCTGATGCCACTTTTGAGAGATTTAGGCAAGAGATCTGGAACCACTGCCCCCCCTCCCCAGAGTAAAGCCTGCCCCCCTCCCCCCGTAAATCACGATGGCCCTTCAATGGCTTGTTAAATCCTGGGAGCCTGAGCCACCCTCTGCCCCTGGATGCCGGGGCAAGTGGATCCAGAGGAGCCCGTGTGTGTTGTGTGCGGGGGAGGTGGGCGGGGCTTACTGCTCTGCATGGACTGGGGCCCACCCTCACCTTCCCCCACCCCCCATTGCCTGGCTGCCCCATCAACATCCCGGCCCCATCTCTGGCCTCCAGCAGCCGCTGGCTACAACGCACAGCCAGGGTCAGCCAGCCAGCAGGCCGACATGTCTACGCCTCACCCCTGGCCTGTGAGCACCAGGCAAGACCCTCCCAAAGCTCTGCACCCCACATGCCAGCCCCTCAACTTCTGCCCCCTTCTTCACCGAGCCCCAGCAGCATGGAGGGAGAACAGGCTTAATGAGAGCCATAGCAGCTCCTCCACCCGCACCTGGTCCTCCACCCCTGGGAGCTGGGTTCCCTCTTCTGTCCAATGAGGGGAGACTGGGAGCTGTGGGGCGGGGCTTACCTCTGCCTCATTCACACCAGTCCCCCCAGAGCTGGGTCAGTGCCTGGCGCACAGTAGGTGTTCCATAAACCTACTGAGCACTGGCCTGTGGGCTGGCTGAGTGGAGAGCTGATGGGAACAGACTCCTGGTCCCTTCCCAGGGCCCCAAATTAGAATCTTGGGGTGCAGGTGAAGGCTCTGGGTTTGTCAGAATCCCCTGAGGCGATTGGATGCCCTGGCAGGCTTGGGATTCAGGGCATCTGATCATCCCTGAAGCTCCTTCTATCCCAGTGATCTGAAGGGAGAGGCAGGCCCAGAGACAGGGTGATGGCCTCGGTGACCTTCAGGGTCCCTCCTGGCCACCGACGCCGTGGATGCAGTGTATGTGTGGGCGATGCCTCGGGGAGGGGGGAGGGGGGAGGGCCAGGGGGCCGGGGTGGGGAAGGAGATCTGACGTCCAGGAGCCGTGACTCAGGCCCTCAGCACCATGACAGTGTGTCTGCATTTAGCCACTGGCTCCTGTTTCCCTGGCGGGAGGCAGGCCTCTGGGCCCCCCACCCCTCCCCCACCTCCTTTCCACCTTGCTCAGTGCTGGTGACTTCCCGGCAGCCCCCTGGGCCAGGATGGGCGACATGGGCAGGAATTCCAGGCAGGCATCTCCCCTGGAGCGAAGGGCCCCTCTTTCCCCAGCCACTGCCTTGACCCACCTTCAGGGACCACCCTCTAGACAGAGCCCCCCAGAAGGAATTCTGTGGGAGCCAGAGAGAAGAGACACAGACCCCAGCTCCAGGAACCCCTGCCCTGGAGGAGCTGCCAGTCTCAGGGGCCCCGGAGCTGGGGTGGGCAGACAGGTGGCACTGTGGACATCGTGTGGACGGCTGCAATCAGAGAGGTCTCCATGGGGAGGAAGGCAGGGCTTGGGGCGGAGAGCGGAGGCCCCACACTCAGCCTGGGCAGGTGCAAAGGGCCCACTCCCTTCTCAGGATGACCTTTCCTTGGCCCCCTCCCCCAGGTCAGTCCTGGCTCCGCTGAGCTATGGGGAGCAGACAGGGGTTCTCGGGGGCTTCTGGGCCAGCCCGTCTCCACACACGCGTGTCCAGGTCACCCAGCCTCCCAGGAGGCTTTGGGTCACATATGTCCGGGTTCGAGTCCAGCTGTGCCGCTTGCCCTGAGCGGCTGTTGCCCATCTGTAACATGAGGGTGACACCTCCTTTCAGAGCTGAGTGGGGAGCAAATGGACCATCTGGAAGCTCCTCCCAGGAGCCCTCCGGCCTCCGTAGCCAGAGCTGGAGGGACCGTCTCCGGATTCTCTGCCTCCAGAACACCTGCCTGCTGCTGCCCCAGGGCTCCTCAGGCCGGAGGTCAGGCAGTTCCCAGAAATACAACCTCCTGATCTTTAGGGGCGATGACCGCATTCCCTCCCTCCCAACCCCCAGCCTGTCTCAGGCTGCTAGCTTTCTCCTCTTGGGGCCCCCTGAAAGGCTCCAGAATGTATGTGTGTCTCAGGGGGCCAGAGGGGGGTGTGTGTGGGGGGGTGGCAAGCATGGAGTCTGGGTCCCAGGGGGAGCTGGCAGGGGCACAGCTGCACATTCTCACCCCCCAACCCCATCCCTAAGAGACGGCTGTAAACCTCGTCTGCCCCAACGGAGACAGCCCCTCACTTCACACAGGGGTCCAGCAGGGGCGGGTGCAGGTCCCCTCCCGACCTCCTGACCAGGCCTCTCCCGGCCCCTGATCCCTTACCACTCAGAGCCCCCCTTACTCCGGCTGCTACTTCGGGGGCGGGGGGACGGGAAATAGAAAAGGCGGGCCACGAGGGGTACGCAGGGAGGCAGAGTCCTTAAGAGCCCTGGCTGCTGGGCAGACAGACACGGCCCCCACCACCACCACCACCCCCACCACCACCCCGCACACAGGCCCCGGGCGCGGGTCTGAGTGCCAGGGGGCCGGCCTGGGGCCCTCCCCGCCCTGAGGGCCGGGGCTGGAGTGATCGGCCTGGAATGCCAGGCTATGAGCTCAGCCTCACGGGCCTGCGTGCGTCGGCCTGTCAGCAGCCCCGTCTCACAGGAGAAGCTTTCCAGCCCCTCTGGGCCGGCGAGGCCTAAATTTAGCCGGTAGACAAGGGGCTGGCCCCGCGCCCGGGTCGGCCGGGCCTTATAAAGCGCCGGCGGCCGGGCCCGGCACACTCCCCCGGCGCCTCCGCCCGCACCCGCGTCCACCCTGCCCCTGGCCGGGCCCGGCTGCCCGCTGTGGATGAGCCACCGCACCTCCTCCAGCTTCAGAGCCGAGAGAAGCTTCCACTCCTCCTCCTCGGCCTCCTCCGCCGCCCGCGCCCTCCCAGCCCAGGACCCGCCCATGGAGAAGGCCCTGAGCATGTTCTCCGAGGACTTTGGCAGCTTCATGCGGCCCCGCTCGGAGCCCCTGACCTTCCCAGGCAAGTGCAAGGCTCTGCGGGCGGGAGACCCCCGGGAGGGCCTCTGCTCCCGGCGCCTCTGAACGTGGCTGCGGCTGCCCAGCCGCCAGGAGCAGGTGCTTTGTGGCTGCAGCCACATGTGGCCAACCAGACAGATGTGGCCACCGGAGAGATGTGGCCACAGAGACAGATGTGGCCGTGGGAACAGGCCAGCCTTCAAGGAACAGGTGTGGCCAGGGGTCAGCTATGGTGCTGATGGCCACACAGGGAGCTGGAGCTCTGAGGGGCTGCATGAGGTTGAAGGGAAATGCATCCCCCACTCTAGGTGTGAGGCAGGTTGCTACACACACACACACACACACACACTCACATTCACACACACATGCGCACACACATGCACACACACCCACACTCACATGCACACACACACTCACACTCACACTCACATGCACACTCACACTCACATGCACATGCACACACACTCACACATGCACATGCACACACACACACACACACACACACCTGTGCCTGGTAGGCTCTAGCCTGCCATGGAAGAGGCGGGCTGCAGGAGGTGAGGAGGGTGGACAGGGAGGGGAGGGACAGTAGCTGAGAGGGAAGTCAGGCCTGGGGGCCTCCCCGCTCCCAGCAGAAGGAGCCAGGAGCCTGAGCGCTGGGTGCAGGCCTGCTCGGTGCTCGGCTCACGGCTGCCCTCCCTCCCCCGCAGCCCGCACCGGGGGGCCGGGCAACATCAAGACCCTCGGCGACGCCTATGAGTTTGCGGTGGACGTGAGCGACTTCTCCCCCGAGGACATCATCGTCACCACGTCCAACAACCACATCGAGGTGCGCGCCGAGAAGGTGAGTGCCCGCCCGCCCGCCCGGACCCGGGTTCCGCACCTGCACCCTCTGCCCGGGTCCCTCCTCCCACGTCTCATCCTGGGGCCCTGGACTCTCCCCAATGTCCCTCCCAGTCCCCGGGGCACATTGGAGACCTGCCTTTGTAGCTCCTGGGCCGCAGGATCCCCGCTACGGCCTCTCTCTGCCCCGAGACCCGTTTCCCAGGAGCCTGGGCCGCCGAGAGGGCCGCGGGGGAGGGGGAGGGCGGAGGGATGCTGGGGGCACCTGAGCCGGGAGCAGAGAGGGAGATGGTGGCTGAGTGAGGAGGACCGCTGAGTTGGCAGGCATGTGGGGACTCACCTGGACAGCTGCGGGAAGAGTTCCCCCACGTGACACCCCTCAAGCCCTCTTCCCTCCGGGCTCCAGAGGCCCAGCCCCCAGCCTGGGACCCCTGAACTAGAGTCCCTGCGCTTCAGGATTCCACACTCCAAACCCCATACTCCCTCTGCCCACGGCCCTCAGGGTCACCGAGGGTCTCTGAGTCCCGGCTCCCAGCAGGCTTGCCCTGGGCGGAGGGCATGCCCCAGCCTGAACCTGGATGCTGCCCGCAGCGGGCAGCAGCCGCAGGTGCCCCATAGAGGAGAGGGGCTGCCCCCGGCTCCTGCCAGAGCTCCTGGGACCCGGCTCCCTCCCTGAGCACAGGATGCTAGGTGCCTGGGCACCCTGTCAGGGAAGCCACGGCCTGTGGGCACCAGGACCAGCGGGCAGCGTGTGCCAGCCCTGCCACTCCCGCCAGTGACTCAGCCGCCCCGGGCTCCCCTGGACAGTATGTGCTGGCCGGGCCGTGGGGGAAGGGCCGCCGGCCCAGCCCTGACGGGGGAGACCCGATGCGTCTGGGTGCCCCCGAGGGCTCCACCGGGCCCTGCGCCACCTGCTCGGTGCTCAGGAACCCCTGCCTCTGCCACCAAGCCCCCTGTTTCTGACCCCCCCAGCCCCTCGCCTACCTGGGCACCTGTCCCTGCATAGCCCTGGGCCTGCGGCCACCATCACCCTGGCCAGAGCCCGCACCGGCCTGAGCGCAGACCCCTCAGTTGGAAGGGCCCCCTGGACTCGGTCTGGGGGGCAGGGGCGGGGCTGGACATGAGCTGGGCAGGGGCGCAGGGTGGCCTGCCCTGACCCATCTCCCCCCACCCCTCACCAGCTGGCAGCGGATGGCACGGTCATGAACACCTTCGCCCACAAATGCCAGCTGCCGGAGGACGTGGACCCCACTTCCGTGACCTCAGCCCTGAGGGAGGACGGCAGCCTCACCATCCGGGCACGGCGACACCCGCACACAGAGCACGTGCAGCAGACCTTCCGGACGGAGATCAAAATCTGAGGGCCGCCCCTGCCCCTGCCCCTGCCCCTGCCCTCCCCGACTCCCCCTCCTCCTCCAACTCCCCGCACCCCACCCCCTGGCCTGCCAGAGTCTTCCTAACCCCTCATAACAGCTGCCAGGACATCTCAGCCCCGGTCCCAGCTCTGACACCCCCACGGCCCCAGGTGGGTCACCCCCACCCCAAAACAGAGGCCTCTGCTCTGCCAGGACAGGAGGGCTCCCCCTCTCCTTCCAGATGGCGCCCCCTCTCTCTCAGTGCAGAACACAGGGGTCGGGGTGGGGAAGGAAGCTGAGGAGAGCCAGGGTCTCTGCTCTGGGCACGTCATCTGCAGGACAGACACCGGGCAGCTCCTCTGCCCCCCGGAGTCTCTGCCGGGCAGGGGGGCGGGAAGGGCCCTGGGACCCCCTTGGCAAGGGGAGCAGGAGAGGCAGGTCCCCAGCGCAGAGGGAGGCCAGGAGACAGCCAGGATGGGAAACCCAGAACCAGCTGCCTGCCCACCTGGAGCCCCCGGCCAGCCAGCTGTGCCAGGGCAGGGCCACGTGGCGTTTGTGTACCGACGGGGTTTTTCCAATACAGCCGGTTCGTGACAAACTGTGAAACTCCTGCCATCTGTCACCTGCCCATGTCCCCAGGCTGAGGGCTGTGGCGGGTCCTCCCCTGCCCCCGGCCGGGCCTCCCGGGGCTGGGGCTGCCTCCATGCAGACAGATCACCCAGCCGGTGGGGGAGAGAGACCATGGGTGGGGCTGTGGGTCTCCAGGTCAGAGAGTGTCTGGCCAACCATGGCCACTGCCAGTCCTTCCCCCTCTTCAAGCTACGAATCTACAGGTGTGGTGTGTGTATACCGCCCGGGGACACACACACCTGCCGTCCTTCCGATCCTAAGCGTTACCATCAGTTGAGTCCAAATTCAGCACATTCTAAAGTCAGAGTCAGTCTCCATATCCATCAGGGGGGAAACGGAGTCTCTGAGCAGATGACTGCCCAACGTGCTCATGAACATAGACCCAGGAAGTCCGAGGCTGCTCTCAACGCGCCCCGCACCGCTCCGGGTACCGGGAAGTGGTTCCCCTCTCTGCCTCTCTTGGCCTTTGCCTCTGTGTTCAGATCCTTCTGCTGGAGGAAGCCCCCAGCCAGGTCCCTCCTGGTCCCCAGGCCGGGGAGGGGCTCAGGCGGCCTGCATCCCGGGAGCCTCAGCTGCTGGCAATGACCCTGGCTCCGTCCCCCATACAAAACCAGGGGGGAGGGGAGGGTGGCTCCCAGTGGAGGGTGGCCTCTCACCCTGCCATTTTGAGGCTTTTAGGGGGTAGTTCAGGGGGAGAAGGGCAGGGGAGGGTCCTGGCATTGTACCCTGCACACATAATAAAGGACAGAATCACAGACTTCTGGAACCACCTGCCTGACGTTCTCACATCGGGGTGCGTTTGAAACGTTGGGGTTGGGGGTAGCAGCTCAAGCAAAGTGGGTGCCCTCTGGCCTCCTGCCTTGGCTCCAGGCCCACCTGGGCGGGGTGCGCCGTTATTTCCGTGAAGAGCCTGGTAGTGCCTCCTCTTCCACCTGCCAGCCAGCGCCCGCCGCTCAGGCCGGGCACAGTCCCAGGTGCAGGGACACCAGAGGCCGGGCAGCTGCACCGAGCCCCTGCCTTCTCGAAGCCTATCTTGTACCAGATGGCCGTGGAGGATCAGAGAGGTGGAGTGACTGGCCCAGGGTCACACAGCTGAAACCTGGCTGGAGTGCTGGCTAGCTGAGGAGTCTGGGTGCTCTCTGGAGAGACACCCCCTCCCCCCATACACACCCCACACTCTCCCAGGTGATACTGAGATCTTGGCCAGGAGCTGGCCCCCTGCAGCTGGAGCTGCGCAGGAGGAGGGAGGGAGAGGGGGCCGGTATTTCCAGCAGAGGTGACTCACGGATTCCACTGGGCTATTTGCAGCCTGACACTCATCAGCCCAGGGTTTGGGGGAGGAGCCGGACCAGCCCCCACCCTTCCTCAGCTCCCACCTGCAGGGTCAGGCTCACCTTGGGGTGGGACCCCAGCAACCCCCCCCCCCCATCTTGGGTGGGGCTGGAGTGAGCTGCGCCATCACTGGCAGGAAAAGGGGTCGGCTCTCCCGGTGGCCAATGGGGCTGAATGCTTTCCACCCCCAACCCCCAGGCCCAGCGGCCCCTCCCCAGACTGCAGTGGGGGGTGAGGGTCGCGCAGAGGACACGCGGGGCAGAGGGAGCCTTCCAGCCAAGGTGACCCTATGAGAGGAGGGCCAGGAGGAGGGGCTGCCGGCTGGGGACTTCCATCCGCTCCGCCCTCGGCCCCGCCCCCAGGCCCGGGACTGGCGGCCACCCTTTGTCTCCTAGGGCCCCCCACCCTTTCCAGGATAAATATAGGCCTGGCGGAGGGCCCTGCGCCCCGCCCCCGCCCCGTGCGGGAATAATTATAGCAGCCCCATTCATTGAGAGCCCGGAGTGTGCCAAGCTGCCAGGCGCACTGCTCATCCCTACAGGAACCCTGCCAGGTGGGCACCGGGGAGGGCAGGCGGGTTCAGAGAGGTCAAGCAGCAGGTCAAGGTCACCCAGCTTGGACGTGGCATGGCCGGGGTTTGGATCCTTGGCTGTGGCTCTGTTCTCTGCAGCCCTGGCCCTGTGGCTCAGTGGGTGGAATGCTGCCCCATGCACTGAGGCCATCAGTGGATCCCCGGTGGAGGCACATGACCTGGTTTCCTCCTTGATCCCCAGCAGAGGGCATGCAGAGGGCAGCTGACTGATGTTTCTCTCTCTCCCTCTCCCTCTGAAAAACCAAAAGCCCTAGCCGGTTTGGCTCAGTGGATAGAGTGTCAGCCTGGGGACTGAGGGTCCTGGGTTTGATTCTAGTCAAGGGCACATATCCAGGTTGCGAACTTGATCCCCAGTGGGAGGTGTGCAAGAGGTGGCCAATCAATGGTTCTCTCTTCTCATTGATGTTTCTATATCTCTCTCCCTTTCCCTTCCTCTCTGAAATCAATAAAAAATATTTTTAGCAACATATATATATATATATTTTAAATATATTTTATTGATTTTTTACAGAGAGGAAGAGAGAGAGGGATAGAGAGTTAGAAACATCGATGAGAGAGAGAGAGAGACATCGATTAGCAACCTCTTGCACACCCCCTACTGGGGATGTGCCCACAACCAAGGTACATGCCCTTGACCGGAATCGAACCTGTGACTTTCAGTCCGCAGAGCCAAACCGGTTTCGGCATAAAAACTTATATTTAAAAATCAATAAAGCCGTAGCCGGTTTGGCTCAATGCATAGAGTGTCAGCCTCCGGACTGAAGGTTCCCAGGTTCAATTCCAGCCAAGGGCACATGCCTGGGTTGCGAGCTGGATCCCCAGTAATGGGTGTGCAAGACGCAGCCAGTCAATGATTCTCTCTCATCATTGATGTTTCTATCTCTCTCTCTCCCTCTCCCTTCCTCTCTGAAATCAATAATAAAAAATATATTTTTTAGAAAAGTAAAATGGTAGGCACATGCACCATCTTTTACACAGGTGGGCATGAGATAGTTAACAGGCACCATCTTTTACACAGGTGGGCGTAAGATAGTTAACCGTCAACAATTAACACGATAACAGCCACCACGAGGCGTCTGCAGGCTCAGCCAGGGCTGTGCTCTGAGGTCCGGGAAAAGGGAAGTTACCAGTGGCCCTGACACTCCACAGGTACGTTTATCTCAGACACGAAACAGTGGGCTCAGTAAAGACCGAACTTGGCCTTTGCTAGGGAAGATGCTGGCCTAGGACCTGACTACCCCTCGACACGGCATGTTGATGAAGGTTTTCATCTCAGACCGTGCTTTGTGGGTCCTGTGGGTCTCTTGAGTTTGCAAGGCTGCCTCACAGGCCTTTCCTGAGCAGCCAGGTTAGCACGGGGCCCCTTTGTGTCCACACGTGTAAAAGCGTTGGCACATGGTAGCAACATAGCTCACGTACGCCATCCAAATTCATAGTGCATCCACACGTGTAAAGCGTTGGCACATGGTAGCGACACAGCTCACGTACGCCATCCAAATTCATAGAGATTTGGATCCTGACATCCCCAGTCTCACCCACACTCTCCCTGGTGCCATCCGGACCAAGACGGGTGTGTGTGTGTGTGTGTGTGTGTGTGTGTGTGTGTCAGAGGAGCTGCCCTAGTATCCAGGTCTTCTCTCCAGGAAAAGCAGGTGAGGACAGAGCAAAAAGGTCCCCTGGCCTCCCATAGAGCCTGGGGGGGGGGGGGGTTGGTGGGAGGGGGCAGTTGAGGGGGAGGGAACCTCAGAAGCCTTAGTCCTCTCGGCAATAAACAAAGATCAGATGGCGCCCTCCCAGGGCAGCTGTGAAGAAGCTGAGGGGGTGATGTTTTAGTATAAGCTCAACAAATGCTAAACTCTAGTTAAAATTGTTGTTTTCCGAACAAGGAAATCAAAGGTCCCACGCACATTGGCTCTGCCCTCAAACACGGGGGTAGGGTGGGGGGAGGGGTGTCCTGAGGGGCTGGGTGTCTTCAGCGGCTGGATGGGGAGCGAGGCCAGGGCCTCTGGGAGGGGAGGGGGCTGTTTACTGTCAGCACAGCTGGCCTGGGGCTCACTGCCAGCACCTGCCAGGCCAGGCCCCGGGCGCCTGGGGTCCAGGGACAGCCTGTCAGGAGAGCTGGGGACTACTGGCCTGGGTGGGGGCCCTCTGGGTGCCTCCCCGAAGGACAAAAAGCAGGGCTGCAGGCCCCAGGGAGCCAGAGAGTAGAGGGCAGGATGGTAGATCTGCTCTTTCCTCCCTCCCTTCCTTCCCACACATGACCATCTACTACCCCAGGCAGGGTAAGGCACTGCAGACTGCTAACTTACCGTATTTTTCGGACCATAAGACGCACTGGACCATAAGACGCACCAGTTTTTAGAGAAGGGAAATGAAGAAAAAAAGATTCTGAAACAAATAGTGTCCTAAGATATTTTATGTGCATTAAAACCCAACATCACAGTCATAAACACATGTAATCAACCCTGTAAAGTAAACAGCAGCATTTAGAACCATTTTAGAGCCGGGCAAGCACACAGAGACCACACAGAGCCGGGCAAGTAAAAAAACTTTTTTTTTAAAGTACAATATATGTGTAGGCTATATTTGGACCATAAGACGCAGGGACTTTTTCCCCCCACTTCTGGGGGGAAAAAAGTGCGTCTTATGGTCCGAAAAATATGGTAAATGAAAAAGGCAACAGGTATTTATTTCCGTTCCAGGGCAGGGCACATGTGCAGGTTTCAGGTTTGATCCCTAGTAAGGGGCATGTAGGAGGCAGCGAATCAATTATTCTCTCTCATCAATGTTCCTCTCTCTCTCCCTCTCCATAAAATCAATAAAAACATACTTTTAAACAATAAAATTATCTCATTGGAGCATAATTTTGGATTTGGACTCTGCCTCTTTCTGAATCAGCGACCTTGGGCACATCACTTCATCTCTCCGTGCCTCAGTTTCCTCATCTGTATAGTGGCAATAAAAATGGTACCCACCTCACAGGTCTGGTGTGAAAGGAACTTGAGGCGGGTGGTGTACCTACAAACATCAATAGTCATTATTGCAGATGAAAGGGGTGTTGGTTAGAATGAGAGTTTGGCTTCTGAATACATGGACACCCCCCGCCCCCACTGAGCCACTGGCCCCTGGGCTCTGGCTCGGTGCACCTTCCCACCTTCCCCAGCCAGGCAGGGTCAGGGTGCCCTCCAGCCTGATGATAGGGCGACACCTGCTGGTAAAAAGGTAGATGTGCAACCAAAGGCTTCACGCTTTTCCTCCGATTCCCTTTGTCAGTTGTCTTTGGACTCTTCAAGCCCAGTGATTCTTGTTTGTTGCTTTTGTTTTGCTTTGTTTTCTTTTATTCTGGCACACGGGTTCTTAGCGAGGAGAAGAGAGAGGAAGGGACCTATGTTGTCCAGATTATTCTGTCACCACCTCTCTAGGTCAAACCATCCCCTCCTTGCCTGAGTTAAGGGGCAGCTTCCTCAAGCTTCTGATCCCAGCTCAAGAACTGGAGGAAAGTTTATTTATTTGTTTGTTTGTTTGTTTGTTTGTTTGTTTTTAAACTATGTTTTTGTTGATTTTTAGGAACAGAGGAAGGGGAAGGAATAGAGAGGTAGAAACATCGATGAGAGAGGAACATCAGAGTTTGGCTGCCTCCTGCATGTCCCCCACTGGGGATCAAGCCTACACCCAGGGCATGTGCCCTGACCAGTAATCGAACCAGCGACCTCTTGGTTCCTGGGTCGGCGTTAAACCACTGAGCCGCACTAGTGGGGCTAGAGGGCATTTTAAAAAATATTTATATTTTATTGAGTTTTTACAGGGAAAGAGAGAGGGATAGAGAATTAGAAACATCAAT